TACAGGATTTGTCACTGAAGGGGCTCTCATAATGTCCTTCACAGTACTATGCCATCTCAGTGGCAGGGAGGGTCCTGGGTGACTGACTCACCCATGCACCAAAGTTTAGATCACAGGGAAACCCATTCGCACTTCTTTCACCAGTACCTCAGCTGCACCAGGGCCTCATTTTCAAAGATAAATCGGTTTTGTCTGCATTTGTCCATTGAAGTAACAGTATACTAAAACCACACAGTTGTACACTGTCTATACAGCAGGTAACAACAATCGATACAGCAGTAAGAATAATTCATAACAGTTAGAGTTATCATAGGATGCAATGAAACGTAAAAGACGATGCATCAGGCTGTGACATAGTCCTGACTGGAGTTGAGACGGATGGCATTACCAAACTTCATAGTCATCGTGACATTGGTCCGTGTCATCATCAGCATCCATGTTGCAGTAGTGTAGCTCATCAGATAGTATGGGCCATAGGATACATTGATCCAAGGATGTCTGAACCTTCAAGGACATCAACTGTAGGGGAGAATGTTAAGACTGTACTCAAGAGGTATCGGATCCGAAGGGCTTTGGCCTCAGCTCGTGCGCTGTGCCCCTTTCCTGAGTCTTGCCCCTTATTTCAGAGTACTGAAGTATTGCGTCTAGTGAGACAGATAAGTATCATAATGGATCTGTTAAGGCTTCCGGATATCGGACGTATAGAGTAACAGCTAATCCGGATTGGATCTGAACTAGAAACTAATGGATGAGGACTGTCCAAAGACAGAGGTGAGGATACAGACTATAGGAATCAATCCTAAGTCTCAGAGTAGACATGAGTAGTGTACTCAAGTCCGGACAGATAACAGAGGTCAAACGGAAGGACTTAGAGTCCAGACAGAATGAGTGCAATCTAAGATGATATTCGAACTCAAGTACTACAGCGCATACACAAGGGTTTATATACTACAGATAACTAATGGAATGATCAATAAGCAAAGGTGTGAGGCTATGTACGAAGTATAAGCAAAGTATGTGCACAGTGTATTGGTAAGTCGGATGGATCACGAATCATGAACCGGGAATGAGGTATAAGTTAAAGCGGATCAGTAAGTGTAGTGGATCAGTAAGCATAGCGGAAGTAAAGGATAACTGGAATACTGGTGTACAGGAATACTGAAAGGAGATGAACGATAGTTAGAGTTATATGAACAGGACATGAAATAAGAATCAGATCGGATCTGTGGACCAGATGACAGATATGTCCATCAGATCTGGATCAGATCTGAGATCCAGATCTTTGGATCTGTACCTGGATCATCAGGGAAAACTGTATCTCTATATAGAAGACCCTCCTCTATATAGCCTGCCTCCATAGTATGGTATAGCTCCATATAGTCTATGACCAGCTATAAGAGTATATAGACCACTGTAGAAATCATGTAATTCTATAGATTACCATAAAGTTTGGCATAGGAAAAGTGTCAAAATGCACAATCTCATCAAGTCTTTCAACAAAAAGTGTCCATGATTTTGAAGTATTTTGCTTATATCACCGGACATTGATGCAAATTTTCTGATGGTGGATTATCATCAGAAAGAACAAATATCTGACGATAATCAACTAAATAGTCACCAATTTTCAGATCAGCCGAAAATCATCGGAATGAGCCCTTATCCAATGCATTCCGATGGCAAAAAAGATGAAATTCCCGCCAAATTCCCGCAGTGATTATTTATATACCTAATACTACTGAATACCCTCGCCCCAGGGCTCCCACTCCTCCACACTGGCAGTACTTGTACCTCCCACTCAGACATGAACTTGATCCTCATTGAAGGCCCTGGCAGATCAGGATGTATCACAGGGATGGTGCACAAGAAAGTGAAGGTCACTGAAGGACATAGGGGCTGGTAACACGACTGTCCATATGTGATGAAGGAGCTGTCGATGTGTCGAGATATGGAGAATGGAGTCACATATGCCAGGGGAGTGGTTCATCAATCCATTGATGGTCTGTATCCGAGTCAGCACATCCTACTATAGCTAAGGCAACTCAATAACTCGCTTAATTCTCGGGGGTCCATCCTCTTGTCCACCCGAGGTACCTGATGCCAACAATTGCAAGGTTCAGTTTCATCAGCACTATCGATATCAAGATCTTCACTGACCTTCATTGTTGATGCTGTCGTCATAGTTGGTGGTGGTGGTTCGAGAACAAGGGGTCCACAGGGTTTAGGGTTTCATGCATGGGACTTTATCTCAATCAGGCAGCGCTGGACTTAGAGAAAAAAAGGCAGCTGCGAAAATATAAGAAAAAAACTAGAAACTGTGTTTTTGCTGTTGTAAATTTTTCAGAAGGAAAAACAGCTAGGTTTTCTCTGCATTTCTGCCAGAGATTATTTGACTGTAAGTTTCCACTGAATGTTAATGGGAAATATGAATCACACTTTTTTCTGAGGTGAATTTCATCGGATTTATGAATTTTCACTCATTCTCACCGGGGACTATTTCAGCTCAAAGTCTGGTGTATCTCACTAGGATCTTATCCTATTAATAATATGAGACCATAGATAGACTCTCCTTGACAAGGGCTACGAGAACCCTTCAATTTTGAGTATTTTACTTATAATTCACTAGGATCTTAACCTATTGATGTCATGAGACTATGGATAGAATTTCCTTGACAAGGGCTACAACTTTGGTTTTCATCAGAAAAGTTCCCACAGTCAAGGTGCTTTCTTGAACTGTCCACTTTCGAGTATTTTGCTTATAGTGAGTTAAGATCTTAGGTGCTGTTCGGACACCAAATCACATTTTTCAAAATCATCATTCACATCATGTGATGCAACCGTGGGATGTTCAGGAAAACCCCAGATACACAAGATATGTGCCTAGATAATGACACATCAATAATCACTCAATGCTGGACATAGAGATGGGCGCACCTCCTGAGCTCAATGATGAGCAGTTTCAGCAACGACTGGAACATTTACGGTGCCTTGCAATGATACTAATATGTGCTATTGGCCAGGTATTAACAATATATAAATCAGTATTCTTATCAGCAATGCAGCCGATACCTTACCACACATCTGCACTTAGTGGTGAAGCATGGGTGCTTGAGCTCATGACTGGTCATCCTGAGCTTATCTGGCACAATTTGGGTGTTGGCTTGGATGTTTTCCAGTCATTGTTGCGTGTTCTATATACAAATGGTTATGTGCGGTCCTGCAACAGTGTTTCTGTTGAAGAACAACTTGCCATTTTTCTCTACACCTGTACAACTGGACTATCAACGCACCTTACAGGTGAAAGGTTCCAGCACTCCCCAGAAACTATCTCAAGGTATTTTTTTTATTATCTATATCATGTTGAACTAATCGCACTTAGTAGATATTTCAAGAAACTTTGGTTGTTCTTTGCATCACCGCCCTTCTACTCATCGCAAGTTCAACTCCCTACTCAACACTCTCCAATCCCATTCTTAATCCAAAATGACCCACGCTATAAATTCTTCGAAAACTGCATTGGCGCTGTTGATGGCACACATATCCGCGCCTTTGCACCACTCGAGGACCATCCATTCATGCGCAATTGCAAAGGTTTTATATCACAGAACTGCCTTTTCATCTGTGACTTCAATTTCTTGTTCATTTTCTCACTCTGTGGATGGGACGGCTCTGCTGCAGATGCAACTTTATGGCATGATGCACGCACACGCGGCTTATACATGCCCCCTGGAAAATACTTTCTTGCCGACGCTGGGTTTGGGACATCAGACACACTCCTTGTACCATATAGAAATGTACGCTATCATCTGAAGGAGTGGCGTCAATCAAATATTGGGTGAGTTCAGTCGCCTTCTAGTACATTCAAAGTTCATTTTCTAAAAAAATCTTCAAGCCCTCAAAACTTGAAGGAACTGTTCAATCTTCGACATGCATCATTGCGCAATGTGATAGAACGCATATTTGGTGTCATGAAGCGTCAGTGGCGCATCCTGCAGCTACCGCCTGAATATAGCATGGCTACTCAGGCTCAGCTTACCAGCAGCGCTATGCGCCCTGCACAATTTTATTCACAGGCACGATCCTGACCTTTTTGACCATCTCTATGATGGTCAAGTTGTGGAACATGATGGTATTGATGATGTAGCACTAGGAGAACTTGATGGTGGACCTGCAGATGCTGCAGAGAGGGGTCGAGCAGACCGACGCCGCGATGCTATTGCATCTGCAATGTGGGAAGATTATACTGCAGAGTGCATGCGACTGGGGAATTGTATTGGCAGCTTAAGTACAAGAATACAATATTTTTATTCCTTCATTGTGGACAGAGTCTGAAGAGCCTGCCGCAGCCACAGTGCCCTGACCTCAGCATCGCTATTCACGTACAATGTAGTGTCTCTCAGGATTCCTCCCCAAAAAACTCCCCATGTCCATCTGTTCCTGTGGCGATAACCCCATTGTAGCGCCGTCATCTCGGAGCAGTTTGATTGCATGAGTGTAGTCGGGGTTTGGTGATGATGTGGAATCATTGAATTTCTCTGTGAACGTCTCAAAGATATTGTTGAACCTTACAAGCTCATCACGACTCTCCTGCTGCGCCTTTGCAGCAACCGAAAATAGGTCAAGAACAGCTTTGGTGCACCCCCCCCACTTGAAGCGACTGCTGACTCAATGGCGCTTTGAGTGTCATACTTGCGCTTTGATGTGCGACTGATGCTGGTGATGACCGAACTTGTAGAAGTTGAGCCGGAGAGAAAGGTGGATGGAATGCTGCCAGGTGATGACATTGGTGCGCTGGGTCAGTTGCCTCAGGGGGTGCATCGCACTGCATGCTAGAGCTGGTATTGATTTCATCTAGGGAAGGAGCGAGCTGGAGAAAGATCTAGGGCATCAAGTGCGCCTGCTAGTGATGATAGAGGGCATGTCCATCAAGGCCTGAGGGGGAGCAGTAAATATTCGAGTTGTTTCCCTGTCTCTTGGTGCGTGGCTGTATGCTGTCAATGATGTCAAAGTAAGGGAAGGCCCTTGTTCTTGAATGGCTTTGCCGCTGCACGACCCTTTAAACAAAGGCTTCAATTATAAATAACAGGAAGGGGTATGATCACAGTACAGACCTTTACAAAAGCTGCCCATGCACTCTTCACTCTCCAGAGTAATTCCAGGCCATGATCATCAGTCCAAGTAAATCCAGAAGCCCTCTTAATTTCCACAACAGCGGTGTAGGCAGATTTGAGCTGATAGAACCAGGTCAGTCAGTCAGTACACTAGATAGAGCGGCAGGAGCAGCCTAACACCACTTACATTTGTCCATTTTGAATTGCAAACTGAGCGTGTCTTCTCAGCACCCTTCTGCTTTGGGAATTTTTCCTTGAGATGATTGGAAGCATCATTGAAGGTCTTTGTTTTGAAGTTACCATCGCCAGTGATTGACTTCTGTTCAGATAAGAATTGAAGGAAAGATTCTTCTTCTTGCTTAGTCCAGTAAGCTGCAGGTTTGCGAGATTGGACAGCGGTAGCCTTGGTAGGATGTTGTGCATCACTTTCATTGTCTATATGACCCGCAGAACGAAGAGATCTTGCCAAGCCTTGGCTGGACGAGTCTGATATCATATCAACGATGGTGGTAGTACAAGACAATCCGGGGTTTTCCTGAACATCCCACGGTTGCATCACATGATGCGAATGATGATTTTGAAAAATATGATTTGGTGTCCGAACAGCACCTTAATCTATTGATACCATTAGACTATGGATAGACTCTCCTTGACAAGGGCTACAACTTTGGTTTTCATCGGAAAAAGTTCCCACGGTCAAGTAAGCAAAAGTGCGAAAATTCACTTAGTCAAAATTCACCAAGTCTTGTGATGTGGCTTTGTTTGGTGCAGCTTATATAAGCAAAAGTGCGGTCAACCACAATCTTTTCCCATCTTTTTCCTTCCTTTCTCTCACTGTCTCTTCCTTCCCTCCTTCTCATTCTCCTTCCACTCAATAATTTTCGCATTTCTGACTACCTTGGTCAGAGAAATCGAATGTGTGGGTGTTCTCAAGGGCTAGGGTATACAGCGTTATCTCAGTTTGGGCACGGCACATCTTGGCCTGTAAGATGAGCAGATCCAACCCATGATTGCATAGATTGGCATTGCTGCACCGAGTAGCAAGGGACTTCATCATCAGCTCCAATTGCATGTCAAGTTCCATTTGGAATGCCTTGTAAAAGGCTTCTTGAACATCAGCAGTAATCCATGTGCTCAGTAGGGGTAATGAGAGGCTGATGTACTATAGAGACAGTTGAGCACAGCCAGACAAAATTTTACAATACTGACATCTAGAATGCTGTATGCTGGTTCTTCCTGTGCAAAGGGGGGGTCGACCAAGTGATGAAGGGGGCAAGGCCTCCAAAGGGGGTGAAGCTCTCCAATGAGTGTGAGCTCTCCAATGGGTGTGAGCTCTCCAAAGGTGAGGAATATCCTGCAGGGTTGAGATATGCGACATTGCTCATTAACCAAGCCTCACACTTCGCTCATGTAGAGATCGAGCAGGCCAAAGGTGTACAAGGTAAAGGTGAGCACCGTGAAGGCACGCTCACATGCCTCAAGGTTGCTGAGGGAGTCTTGATCTCATGCTTTGCTGGAGCTCCAATATGTGCTACATAGTGAGAGGGTGAGCACCATAACTCAGCATCTCAAAGTCAAAGAAGCTCATGCATTCAGAATTGCTCCAAGACTTCGATAGCCTGTGAGTACAAAGACACTTCCATCTGACACTGTTTCCTCCTCTCTTCCATAAGAAATTGCTCTACAGCTGCATGCCTTCCCCTATCCCCACTAACATTACAGATGTCCTGGTGTCTATGCAAGGTTTTCTTCCTGCATCGCTTCTATACTGCGCTCCCCAACTAGTTCCCAAAGATTACTGGGATATACTCGATCTTTGAGTAGGTATGGCAGTACATATATTTCAGTTTGGAGCTATAAGGAAGTGAAACAATCAAGATATGCCAAGACACGAAATTATTGACTGACCCTCTGACTTGTTATGAGTCCAATGTAGGCATCCATGAATTTGGAGCCTAATAAGGTGGAGAGGTGAAAAGTATCCATATGAGTGGTTGAGTAATCAAATAATTCTAGTGAAAGACAGGTTGCCATCTTTGGATGAACTTCTGCGGGGTAAAGGGAGGGAGTTAGTACCTGGTACTACGGTAGTGCACGGGAATAAGCTGAGGAGGCCTACTATTTGTATTGGGGAACTTTTGAAGGGTAAGTGAAGGGTGGGAATCCTCAAGAAACTTGAGAGCTCCGCGGCGCTCACTGGGTACTGGCCATCAAAATAACGAGCTAGCCATCAAATAACGAGCTAGCCATCAAAAAATGGAATAGCCATCAAAAGAATGAACTAATACAGGTGTGTGAACTTTGCCGTTCTTGCTGCAGGTACTCCGACCTTGGCAGTCAGACAGTCTCTTAGAGCTTGTTGATATCTCATTGGCTTGCATGCATTTGGAATGACTTAATACATGTGGCCATCCTTCTAGACCAGCGGTAGCAACTGGCAGCTTTGACCTGGCTGGAACTGGATAGCCAAACCATGTCTTCAAAGTGGCTTCAATGAGGAAAACCGAAGCTGGTGGGCCTCACTTACACTAGCGGTTGCATGTGTGTTGAACAGTCAAAAATCTGTGACAAATAATGTCAGACAGAGCGGATCATCAAAGGCATTGACACTCACATGAGATTTCATTAATCATTCCCACTGCACAATCCTGAAAAGATGAAATCTATGTCAGCAACAGTGCAAAAATACAAACACGCATATCTCACTGAGCATGAAAACAAATACAAATAGTAAGTACCAAAGGCACTGGGCAGCATCTCACTGGCATGTTAACGGTGAGCGCTTGAGCAACGAGGTAACATCGAGGGCTCACCATTGCAACATCATGAGGACAGACATACATTGGACAGATGTGCATACGGGCAAGCCTTGTAAGGTGTCTCCAAAGGTAGTAAGCGCATCTGATGTTTAGGCTAGTTCATTGCGTACTACTAGTGTCATTCCTCTGAGTCACAATGTCTTTGTGGAGCTCAATGATTCAGGTTAGGGTTAGTTAGGGATTACATTGCAGGCAACGGTTGTAAAACTCGTGACGCTGATGCAAATATAATCGTTCAATTCCAAGAGTCCTACTTGTACAGTGATTCCATATTTGTGCTACTAGGTGTAATTTCAGGTATGCAAGAAGGATGAACATAAGTATTATCTATGAGAGGTTGACAGAGATGATGATCTGACAGGTATTTACTAGTACAAGAAATGACAGGGACTGTGTCTCATGAAGTTTACATCACCAGTTTGAAGTCACCAACGGAGCAAAACGCATCCATGAGTGACCTAAAGGACTGAAAGCCTGCATTATTTGGCAGGCCGACACTCTTGACTGCTTCAATGGTGATGGGCTTGACATCCTCCATAGTCCTTGAATTTTAGTCTTTCCAATGGTTCTTGGCAGTTTCGTTTTCGGGTTGAAGTTAAGCACATTTTCATACCTGAATGGAATCATGATGAGTAATACTAAGCAGCACGTAAAAGACTGATACTATGAAGGGCAGCCGCATCACGGCTTGCGTAAACTCAGGAAACAAACACGGCTTTTCATACATGGGACCAAGTGCGGCTGTGAGGACATCGGGCATAACTTTGTGGTCGAGGTAGACAGTGAGTTCCTTTTTACCATCTTTGCCCAAGAGCTTCTTCAAAATAAGCAGCATTGTCTGGTAGAGCTGTGTTTCTGTTATATTGCTTGAGAATGTACAAATGGAGAAAGACTCACCAATGTCAACAAGTTGCATATGGTATCCTCCACCAAACACCTAGTTGATGTACAGATATCTTCGGGAAAAAGTCCGCTACCCTCCCACTTTTTATCCCATTGGCCAACCCTGTCATATACCATATTCCCGGGTACAGATCCGAAGATCTGGATCTCAGATCCGATCCAGATCCAATGGACATATCTGTCGCCCGGTCCACAGATCCGATCTGATCCTTATGTCATGTCCTGTTCATATAACTCTAACTATCGTTCATCTCCTTTCGGCATTCCTGTACACCTGGTATACCGGTTATCCTTTACTTCTGTTATGCTTACTGATCCACTACACTTACTGATCCGCTTTAGCTTATACTTCATTCCCGGTTATGATTCATTATCTATCTGACTTACCGATATGCTGTACACATACTTTGCTTATACTTCGTACATAGCCTCGCGCCCTTGCTTATTGATCATTCCGTTAGTTTCTAGTTCTGATCCGATCTGGATTAGCCGTTACTTTATACATTCGATATCCGGAAGCCCTAACGGATCTGTTACGAGACTTATCCATCGCAATAGATGCAATACTCTAGCACTCTGAAATAAGGGGCAAGACTCGGGAAATACTTGAGTACAGTCTTAACAGTATATTCGAACTCATACCTTTCCAAGTTACTTACACCTATCATGCCTCCAACCAAGACACAAACAACTCTGCACGCGGTTCGGACTTACCTCCCTCCGTCGTGATCCGACACCCATAGTCAACACCTTCACCAGTTTCTCTCAGCGCGTGTTAGTCGTGGACCCGCTCAAACCATATCCGAACTCCTTAATTGTCGACACCCGGAAACCCCTACGCGCACTCCTGCCACAGGACCTCCGGACGATGATGATGATCCTGATGATGGTGATGATGACTTCCCTGGTAATCCACCTGACGACAACGGTGGTGACCCGGATGATGATCCGGATGATGATGACGATGAAAACGACGGCCTAAACCCACAGGACCGTGTTAACCACGGAAGCTCCGTGCATTCTTTGTCCAGTGTGAGATTAACTTCCAGAGCAAGCCTAAGGCTTTCCATACCGGAAGGGCTAAAGTCAACTTCGCCCAATCCTACCTTAAGGGTATGGCTCTTGAATGGTTTGAACCGGATCTCCTGTCTGATGATTTGGACGATCATCCGGATTGGATGAACGACTATTCCGTGTTCATGCTTGAACTCCAAACCAATTTTGGACCTCATCGACCCGTCCGGTGATGCAGAAATGCAGCTCGAACAGCTCCACATGCGTGACAGACAGCGCATAAACAAGTACGTTGTGGAATTCCAGTGTCTTGCTTCACAGGTCCGTGGCTGGGGCGACGGAGCCTTACGACACCAGTTCTATAACACCTAGGCGTCGGACCAGGTAGCACGCTAGGGGAGAAAAGTGGTTCCAAAGTGGATAGCTTGGGAGTTGATAGTGCTGGTGACTAGCGCTTTACTCTTTTCCTCTAGGCAAGGCAAATTATGCCTATGACACTCATACGCGCCTAGCGCTGGTATGATTGTCACATCTGTGGGAGACTCAAATACTGACTGTCCCCAGTCGGTCTCATGTCACAACTTGGACTTAGCAAAAATTTGTCCATTGATAAGGGCACATGATCGATGGCGACCCGATATGGAAGTGATGATCGGATAGTGGGAATTTGATAGAAGTGGTGGACACAATCAATGAGCCGGTGTGGGAAACACAACAAGAAGAGAACTCTATAAAGTACTCTTCAGATGTTGGGTCAAAATTGCTATGCCTAGCTGCTATTCAACCCTAAAGGATTTCTGTACTAGACTCAGAGCTCAGAGAGTAGAATTATCATCAAAACAAAGACTGTGATTCAGACTGGTACTGACAGTGGTGAAAGGGAGACATGATTATGTAAGCAGTAAAATGCGAACATAAACTAAGGAAAGTGGGGTAAGTGAAGGTAAGTAAAAAGGGGGAATATCAGCCCAGGGAAAACTATATTGTCACACTGGAACAGTGGGTGGAAGTGTAAACATGCGGTGGTCGCGATCGGTGGACTACAACAATGCAAGGAATAATGGGCACGCAGTGGTTGTGAAGAGTGGGTCAGGGTCAATGGAAGTGTGGACTCAATCACATATCCTTATAAAAACCCTCCGACCTTTCCTTCATCCGCTCCTTCATCACATACTTCCTACAATGTCTTCCTTTACTTTTTCTGAGGTCATCAACCCTAATGTCGACAAGCTCCAGTGTGCCTTCACTGATCTGCGACTCAAGTTATCCCATCTGGTCGACGCTATCCCAAGGACCGTTCTGAGCTAATCCAGCGAAAGGAAGAATGGCTGCGCAATTGGAACAAGCTAGTGGTAAGTCTTTGTTTCCGACATTAACTCTGTCGCATCTTTCTAACCCTCCTCATAGCAGGAACTTAGTGATAATGCCATGAACTGCAAGACCTACAACATGAATCTCCCACTCTTGTCGGATGAGGTTGCCCTGGGTCGCAAGGCAGAAGAGGCCCACAAGCTCTATTCCGCCCAGGTTCATGCATATAAGGTAGAGGTCCAGCGCCTTGTCAACAAGCAGGCGGAAAGGGAGAAGAGCAAGGAGCGGGAGATGGAGCAAGAAAAGGGCAAGGGGAAGTCGGGAGAGACAGATGCAGCCATGGATGAGGCAGATGGTGATGCTGATGCGGAAGGAGAGTCAGATGAAGAAGAGGCGGATGTTCGTACTCCACTGGTCATTAAATGTGCTGCGATGTCAATGCTATGGCGGGTAGGAGGAAGGCTTTGGTAAGCAGAACTGTTGTCTTTGCCTTCTTCCTTGGTCTAATCTGGCTACAGAAGACTCCTCGCGCTGTCACACCTGTGGTGCACCCAAACCCTTGTGCCTGGTGTGTAAGGGCTACTAAGCCATGCGTCGGCAAGCCGGGCAATTCTTGTGAGACTTGCAAGGATGCCCACAAGAAATGTGAGTATTCAACCCACCGGCATGGAGGTAAGTGGTCCCGACTTAGTAATAGTCACATCTTACTAACACTTGTCGCAGTTGCAAAGGAGAGAGCTGCTGCTCGTGCTGTCGTGGCCAAGGCTGCTGTCAAGGCACCTTCCGCTCCCGCTGTGGGTTCCTCTGCAGGGTGGGGTGTCATTATCCGTTGCCCCAGGGAGACCCCTGAAGATGCGACTTCTGCTGAGTCAGAAGAGGAGGAGGAGGAAGAAGAGGAAGAGGAGGAGTCGGTAGGAGAGTCGCGAAAGCGGAAGTCATCTGAGAGTCAGGAAGTAGAATTTGACCTCCTGGCGGATGCTGATGCTGACGATGAAGACCTCTATCTGGAAGGCAAGGTGCGGGCGCTATATGCCAAGATGCTGACCATGCAGGGAATGCTTATGGAGATGATGACGGAGGTGGATTCCTTGGTGGTGCACTGCAAGAAGAGGAGGAGGCTTTGCTAGATAGGATTCTATAGGTCACGTGTTTGGACTCTCTTGTTAGCGCTAGTGTACAATGTAGGCTGGGAATAGATAGCGCATGAAGTGTAATGTTGGTTGCATGAATATCCTGAGTGATCGCATGTCCTGTCCAGGTAATCTTGAGTCCTATGTCCATGTCAATGTGTGTGGCGCGCTGCCTACGTGTTCGAAGAGAAATGTATGGTAATCAATCTTTCACACAAAATAGTCCAGTCCTTTGTAATGTCTGTGTTGCGATATAAGTCCATGCGCGGATGGCGCGTAACATATGTGAGTCCTTTGAGAAGTGGAAGAATGAAACTGAGACGCCGGACTAAACCCGGGGTGGACTGAGACTATCATACTGAGAGCGGTATGTTTTTGTGTTTTTGTTTTTGTGAGAGATAGGCAGGTGTCGGGAATGGGTATATTGGCAGTATTTGGGGAATGCTGGCGGGTCAAGCATCATAGTCAAAATCGAGTGCTTCGTCGGGTGGCTCTTCTATGTCTTCGCTTGCTAAGGTATCCAGTGTTTCATCATCTAGACCTGTGATGCTAGTAACTGAGACTTTAGCTTCGCTGCACGGAAGATAAGGGAGTAGGTGGAATGCTGCATAGCGCAGTCGGGACACAGAACCATCTAGTTCAGCAAGGATGTACAACCCACCCTTGGTGCGGCGGATGACTACCATAGGTCCTAGATAGTGCGGCTTCGTCTTGCAACTTAGCTTGTACTCAACCTTAGAGTTGCGGACTAGAACGAGTGTGCCAGGCGTGAAATTGTAGTCTATGATCGAGCGACGATAGTGCTGCTCGAAGTTGTGGATAGACTGATGGCGTGCTTTGAGTACTTTCTCCTTGATAGTGTTGAGGTCTTCTTGTCGCTTCTGCAGTTGTCAGGCTCTCCATGCAACTAGATCCATTGTTGAAAAGGTGTCTTGGTTGGGTAGCACTACTAGAAATGTTCCTTCAGCAAGATCAAACAGAAAGATAGACTCGACACCATGAACCATGAAATAAGGCATAAGTCCTGTTGCTTGATGAACAGTGACATGTTCTGCCCAAAGCACCGAGTGTGTGGACTGGTACCAGTGCGCCTCATCCCCATTGCAACTTTTGATGATGGCCTCCTGGACATCATAGTGATGTTGCTCAACAATACCATTAGCTTGAGAGTTGTATGCTGAGACGTGGATCGGGTGAATTCCATAGCGCGCTGCTAGTTCATCAGCTGCTGCGTGGAATGCAGGTCCGTTGTTGGTAACAATTTTGGTAATAGGTCCCCGTCTGCAAAGAAGTTCCTTGAATAAGAATGCGACAAGGGTCTTGGTATTCTCCTTGCGTAACATGTGCCATTCTGGGTATCCAGTTAGCGTGCAATGTGCATGGACTAGTCGGTCGAATCCGCCTGCTTTGGGCATCATCATACAATCAATATGCGCTCTCCTGAAGATACCGCCTGGGATCGGGACTGTTGGATGAATGTGCAACTTGCGACTTTATCTGATCTGGCATTCATGACATGTCCTATTATACCATTTGATGTCGTCAATCACCATAGGCCATCAGAAGCATAAGAGAAGTTGGGCGCGGATTGAATATACTCCCTTATGTCCAAGGTCGTCGTGCGCTTCCTTCAAGATGTGAAAGCGTCACAATTCAGGAACTACTAGCTGGTGCTTTCCTTGAGAATTGTGTCTCCATAACTTTTTGTCGAGGATAAAGTACCGCACAGCAGATGAAACAAATAGCTCATAGTCTTCATCCGATAGGTCTGCGGGTCACTTGCGAGTCTCCAAAAAGCGTTGGATCTGGATTAGTCTGGCATCAAGTGCTTGTGCGTTTTCTGAGCGGGGGATGGTCGGGCTTGCAGAATCGGGTTCTATGGTGTCTATGTATGCAATGAGGGCGGGTAAACGGGTCAGCGGGTAAGGTACGGGTACGGCATATGGGTATTGCATTATATCAGCTCCTGCGCCTGCGATAGCACAACTACAGTCATTCAGAATCTCAATGCCAAACGAATGAGCGGTCAAGCCAATCCTCGTGATCATCATCCTTGTCAGGATCTTCCTCAGTGGGTGGTCTCCTTGAGAGTCCGTCTGCTCCAGTATGCTTAGTGGTGGGTACATGAACAAGTGCGAAAGAAAATAACAATATACCTGCAATCCACCAATTGATGGTCACGTTAGGTTGAAGGTTGGGGTTATTGATCATTCCTTTAATATACTTCGCATTGACCTCAACCGTAAGGTTGGCAACTGTTAAGACCGTACTCAAGTAGTATCGGATCCGAAGGGCTTCGGCCTCAGCTCGTGCGCTGTGCCCCTTTCCCGAGTCTTGCCCCTTATTTCAGAGAGCTAAAGTATCGCGTATATAGAGTAACGGCCAATCCGGATCGGATCCGGACTAGAAACTAACGGGTGAGGACTGTCCGAAGACAGAGGCGGATATGTAGACTATAGGAATCTATCCTAAGTCTCGGAGTAGACAAGAGTAGCGTACTCAAGTCCGGATGGATAACGGAGGGACTCAGAGTCCAGACGGAATGAGTGCAATCTAAGATGATATTCGAACTGATCTACTACAGCGCATATACAAAGGTTTATATACTACGGATAGCTAACGGAATGATCAATAAGCAAAGGTGCGAGGCTATGTACGAAAGTATAAGCAAAGTCTAAGTGGAGCGTATTGGTAAGTTGGATGGATCACGAATCATGAACCGGGAATGAAGTACAAGTAAAAGCGGATTCGTAAGTATAGCGGATCAGTAAGCAAAGTGGAAGTAAAGGATAACCGGTATACCGGTGTACAGGAATACCGAAAGGAGATGAACGATAGTTAGAGTTATATGAACAGTAAATGAAATAAGAATCAAAGCGGATCTGTGGACCGGACGACGGATATGTTCATCGGATCTGGATCGGATCTGAGATCCAGATCATCGGATCTGTAACCGGATATATGGTATATGACAGTATCCCCCCCTTAGGGCCGATCCCTAGAGGCACAAGAATCAGCGATCCGGAACGGATGGTATGAGTGCGAGACAATGGAGAAGCTGATGGGAGAAGTTGCTGAGTTCGGATTCTGACAGATATACGGATGCCAAAGCGTCGCAGGGTGTTCCTTCCTTTCCCTACTTTTTCACTACCACTAGCTTATCTCAACCATGACTGATAACGGATCCGGCTCTAAGAAGACCGCTAAGCAGACTCTGGCGGATATCCAGGCCGCGCTGGCTGCTGCTGAGGCCGAGGTTCAGAAGGAGGAAGAGGCTGAAAAGCTGAAGCAACAAGCGGAAGAGGCGGAACGGAAGCGCTTGGCAGGGATTAAGAAGATTGAACGGGCTGAGGCCCGAAGGGAAGCGGAGGAGGCTAGGCGCAGGGCTATAGTGGCGGAAATGGTGAGTTATGACTTGTTCTATCGGATCCGTCCCTTATCGGATCCGTAGTCTCGCGCCATCTCAGCGGATAAGGATGGGGCTTGTACCCGCTGCGCTAAGAAGGGTCGGGCCTGTCTGTGGTCCGATGCGGATAGCAATTCCTTGGTAAGTCATCCTTGAATCTTCGGATCCGTGACTCTTAACATCCGGATAGATCAAGGCTTGTAACGCGTGCCGGAAGGACAAGGCTCCTTGTCCCGGATGACCTGGAACCGTTACGGATTCCAAGTCTAAGAAGAGGCAGCGCGCTGCTGAGAACCCATCTCCGAGAGGCAAGGGTAAGAAGCGCCAGCAGAGTCCGACTCCGGATCCGGATATGAGGACGGTAGTAGTGGATGAGGTGGAAGTGGAGTATGATGATCAGGCCTGGGTCGCGGCCGCTAACAGCATTGTAGCGGAACTGGCTCGGACCAACGGATTGCTCCAGCAGAGCATCGGAGCGGCGGAAGGGAGTAGGACTGCTATAGAGCGGATGAATACTAACTTGGAGGCGTTTTTGGAGCAGCAGAGGGAGTTCCAGACCATCCTTCTTGAGGGGATACAAACTCTGTACCGCGATCCGAGGTGACATGGGACGGAACTCCGTGCTTGGAAAACACATGAAGTAGGAATAGACGAGCGAGATCCGGAGAGGTAATGGTATCGTGAGTCGGAACAAATATTGCTTGTTTGGATAAACGATCTATGATAACGAGGATGGCTGTAAAGCCTGATGAGTCCGGAAGTTGCTCTATGAAATCCATGGATATGGAATTCCAAGGCTTTTCCGGTATGGGTAGTTGTTTGAGCAATCCGTAGGGTTTATGTCTCGGAACCTTGGCTCGGGCGCAGGTAGTGCAGGACCGGACGTAGTCCTTAACATAGGTGCGTATACCCGGCCATGTATACTCGCGTCGGATGAGGTCTAGGGTTCGGTTTTGACCAAAATGTCCGGATAAGGGGTGATCATGAGTATTACGGAGGACGCGAAGTCGAAGGTTATCGGATTCTGGGACATATATACGGTTGTCGCAACGGAGGAAACCCCTATCGTCCACTGTCCATCTCGGATCTGAAGGTACTGGAAGATGGTTGGTTGCAATAGGGTCATTAGGAAGTGCGGTCAGGATGTCTTTCCGAAGGTCATCAATATCCATTAGAACAGCTGCTCTAAGAACCGGAGTTGCTAAGGTTGAGGCTCGTAGGGACGAAGCTAACTGTTCGGACGTGAATACCGGACGGAAGTTATGAGGGTTAACTCGAGCGTAGTCCTTATCCCCCTCTTTGGGATAGACGTCCCAGCGTCTAGTAAGGGAATCCGGTTTAACTCCGAGTTTTCCGGGACGGAAGCGGATGACAAGATTGAACTGATGGAGGAATTCCGACCAGCGGGCCTGACGGCGAGAGAGGAGTTTGGTAGTGGCGAAGTACTCAAGGTTTTTGTGGTCCGTGACAACATCTACAGGCTCGGCCGAGCCTTCTAGATAATGTCGCCAGGTCCGGAAAGCTTCATATATAGCTAGAAGTTCCTTATCGTGGGTGTCATAGTTAAGTTCCGGAGCGGTTAGCGTTCGAGAGTAGAATGCTACCGGACGAAGCTCTGAGTCCGGACATACTATGGATAGTATTCCAGCTATAGCGTAGTCAGAGGCATCGGTTTCCACAACTATAGGAACATCCGGCATCCAGTGCGTAAGCACCGAGCCGTAGTGAAGGCTTTCTTGAGTTCCTCGAAGGATTTCCGACATTCATCGGAAAAGTTCCACGGAGCATCCTTGCGTGTAAGCCGTGTTAACGGAACCACGATATCCGAGTAGTTGAATATAAACCGTCTATAGAAATTTGCGAATCCGAGGAAGGATTGGATATCCTTGACTTTCCGAGGTTCCGGCCAGTCAGTAATAGCTTGGATCTTATCGGACGACATAGTTAAGCCATCCGGAGATAGGAGATATCCGAGATATTCAACGGAAGTGGAATGGAATTCGCATTTTTCGGGTTTGGCATAGAGACGATGTTTACGGAGTCGACGGAGTACTTCTCGGACGTGTTGCTTGTGGGACGCAAGGTCATGGGAATAGATGAGGATGTTGTCCAGATATACGATAACGCATACATCCAGCATATCAGCAAACACGCTATTGACAAAGCGCTGGAATGCTGCTGGAGCGTTAGTGAGACCTTCCGGCATCACCAACCATTCATAGGAGCCATAGCGCGTTCGGAAGGCAGTCTTCCATTCGTCCCCTTCCGCTATCCGGACAAGATGATAAGCGGATCGGAGGTCGATTTTGGTATAAACTTTAGCACGGCTCGGAGAGTCTAATAGGTCGGCAATGAGGGGTAATGGATATCGGTCTTTCTTAGTGATCTGGTTGAGTCCACGGAAATCCACACAAAGGCGGAGGGGATCCGTCCTTTTTCTTGACAAATAGGACCGGAGCTCCGTGAGGAGAGGATGAGGAGCGAGGAGTCCAGAGGCAATATTTTCATCAAGAAACTTCCGGAGGGCTGCAAGCTCGACCGGGGATAGAGAATAGATAGTTCCGAGGGGAGGACTAGTTCCTTCTTCCAGATCTATGTTCAGATCATAAGGACGATGTGGAGGAAGCTGACCAGCTTTTCCCTTGTCGAAGACATCCGCAAACTCGTGATAGTCCGAAGGAATTTGGGATAGATCCGGAGGATCGGACGATAGAGAAGCGGATCGGAGATCGACACCGGATGGTCGAAGGTATATACTGAACTGGACCGATCCTTCTAACTTGCAGGCCCGGCAAAAGGCAACTGCATTGATTAGAGATATATTAGGAACAGTGTTATCAGCGGAGGGTACGGATGTAGTCGGAGGAGGTATGGTTTCCGTCGGAGGAGGGATATCCGAGGACGGAAGTGACGTCGGAGGGGTCGATGGCATTCCATGAGATGTCGTCCAGAATTCAATGCTGCCCAAAACCCAGTCAATCAACGGATTGTGTCGGGTGAGCCAGCTATATCCAAGAACGATAAAACAAGATGAATCCAAAGGGGTAACGTAGAACGTATCAGAGGTGACTACACCGGACGGAAAGCGGACGGACAAATCTATAGCTTCGGAAATAGTATTATTACAAGTACCATCAAACAAGCGGAGCGGAATCGTAGGTATCGGATATGTAGGGATTTTGTGTTTTCGGATGAACGCAGTATCTATGAAACAATGAGAAGAACCACAATCAACAAGAGCTGGAAATTCGGATACGGATGGAAGTAACGGAAGTGAAACATATGGACAGAGGGAAGTCGGATCCGAGAGAGCGCGACAGCGTTGAGTCTTAACTCCTTTGTGCAGGCAGAGTCAACGCGACCCTCTTCCTGCACGGAGCTAGGAGAGTCGCGGACTATTTTTTTGTCTCAGCAGAGACATCCGGTTTGACTTCCGGAGCGACTACTGCAGCGCGGCCTTTGGCAGCACGCGAAGTAGACTTGGTGCATTCCCGTGAACGATAGTTAGAGTTATATGAACAGGACATGAAATAAGAATCAGATCGGATCTGTGGAGCGGATGACGGATATGTCCATCGGATCTGGATCAGATCTGTACCCGGGGAATATGGTATATGACAGATTGGATCTTTTCTTTGATGATGCGGATTACTTCTCCAAGGCTTGCGGGTGGGATAGGGATATTTTGTTGAGACCAAGAAATGTGGGGGATGGTAGGGATTTTGTACGGCGGGAAATATGTTTCCATTGAGACGGCTGCGCTCGGTCGCGTCCCATGCGAATGCTAATTCATGAACCCAAACAAGCCAGCGTATAAGCTTCAACTCGTCAGGCCACAACCAATTAGCGGGGTCTAAGTCCAATTTGTCTGCTCATTCTTGGGTGAAGCCGACGCCTGGAACAAAATCAGGCAAGTGGGTTGGCAGTGTAGGCATGCCGGCCAAAGGGTCGTCAGGTAACCATCGCATTACTCTATATTTGGGGGGCATAGAAGTTTGTACCATATGGACTTTCTTCACGACTGGCTTGTAGACCAGCGCGCGTCGGGTTTTGTTGTCAAAGGTAAGTAAAGGCAGTAAAAGCGACTAATGATCATGCTCACTGAGGTTGGTACCCACGAATTAGGCTTAAGAAGCGCCTCGACTCCTGTACTATCTACACCATGATTCTTGTCATAGATAAGGTTGCGTGTGGTGGCAACCAGCTCACTCCTCAAGCTATTGGACCATGTAAGCATTGAACATTTACGCCTATCAAGGCCCATTCCCAAATTGTGAAGTTGTGCAGTTGGTATCAGGCATCTTGGGCAAGGACACCCTCCCAACTGCTGTATTGTTGCAACAAGAACCCTGAATTGGTGAACTTCAAATCCATATGGCTAATGTTCACAACTCACTTTTCAGGATAGTCTGTGGAGTAAGTGAATATTCGCGGGTAAAACCTGCGTTTGACACTGTCACAGCAAAGGATCACAATTCCATGCTCATAAGCCTCTATAAATTCATTATCGAGTAAGACCTTCCATTGCACTTGAATAATTCACGGTGGCAATGGGTTGCACATTCACGGCTATCCCCCTTGCCATTGGTGTAGGTACTTGCAAAATCTTTAAATGAGTTGGGAAGCTGCAGAGACATAAGCTTTAGTGCTTAAGAGGGTTCATAATGGTGATCGTACCTTTTGAAAGTAGGCGACATTGTTACCCAGATGGCAAGATGGTTTACAATGGTGGTATTTCAATTCATTACCGAAGTACATGTACACCGGCCATAGCCTCGCATTACCAAACATTGTAAGGTGCATAGCATCCGACCAAAACATAAGTGTGACGACCACATGGGGCAACTTACATCCTGGCTCTCCAAAGATTCCTGAAGCTTGCTGTGGGTATCACAACCTGGCAGGCACATATAAGAAAAGTGCTCAGCCAATATAAGTGAGTCTCAGCTCTGCCTAGCTGCTATACTCGCAGAATGCAAGAACGTTCGACCCTAAAGGGGAAGCAAGGAAAGCAAGGATCCACAGAATGATGCTGAACAACCCTGGTGAATGGCGGTGAAAGTGTGAGAAATGCGCTGAAGGTGCGCGTGGGAAAGCGAAGTGTGAAAGTGCGCGAAGCGTGGGAAGGTAGTGCAAGCAGTGCACAAGTGTAGAGGATGTATACTGAGATTGATATGAGGAAAAGTGCGGATCTAGACGGATACTAATAGTGCCACTAGCTATAGACTGATGCTAGGGCCTCAAAACGATGATGGACACATGCATTGCATGGAACTAACTGGTGATAGATACTGGTGGTAGGAAGCTGGTGGTAGGAAGCTAAGGTGGAAAAGTTCGGTGTAAAACGAACATAAGAGTACATATGTAAGTTCTACCTAAGCGCTCTCCCAGGGCTCGGAGCCGAATAGGGAGCACTCTAAGTATGTAAGTGAGGTAAAGTGATGTAAAGTAAGGGTCCATGATGAAATAGGAAGTGTAATATGCCAAATATGGTCAGATAATGAAAGGGACATACCGAGGGACTGGTCAGACGATGGATGGATGCTCCTGGATGCTGTGCGACACAGTGCACTTAAGCGCGAGAAAGCGCGCAAGACGCGCACGCAGGAATGCTGCGCATAGTGCGGGAAAATATCGTGCCTATGGCGCATTTCATGGGAAAGTGGTGCGCTCTATAGGGAAGTCATAGTGGATGATAATGCGAGTTGTGCCATGAAGGCCAGTTGTCAGAATTCGTAAAATGAGCCCATATGTGCCTGCAGAAATGCAAGTCTCTACATTGCAGTGTGCATCCATACAGGCTGGTGAAGTATACAGTTCACCCTGAATGTTTACTTCATGGGGAAGATGAGGAGCATTCGAGAGCTTTTCCTGAATGACAGAGATCAGAGATCTGTGGTAAAGGTCTGCTGCTACATACGGTCGAGGGCCTGGCTGGGCTGTGGTCCAGGAGAAAGACACTTCAATGGTGACTTGGGTTTTATGACAGCCAGCATCCTCGTCCTCGTACCCAATGTCGAGGTGATCCTGTCCCATGGCATATTCCGCATGTCGTCAGGATCAAAATGTGAATCACCAACAATATCAATCAATTCTTTAAAGTCCTGATGAGACTTCTGTATGTTGCCATTCAAGATGCTCCAGTAGGTGCAGACAATGCAAGAATAGATGTGGATGGAGCTGAAGTCTGTCGACATCAACATCTTCTGGTGTGAGGAAATCAGTAGGCACAGATGGTGCAAGATTCTTGAAGTAGCACTGTAACTCAGATCATTAGTAGTTGCAACTTGTTCACTTACAATGTAATGACACTGCCATTGTTTGTTATCTTTCTGTTTCATCCTGGATCTGCACAAGTCTCTGCATCCAACTCATGTCTTCGTTTACCCTCAGAGGAACTGTGCTTTCTTGTCTCTCATGTTGTCTGGATAACCTTATACTTTAGAAAAATGTCTTCGAGCTCAAGATTGGTGCTTCATTCATGTTCAATAAATTGTGTAGTGTCAGTTGCTTCCTGCCTAAGATCACAACTGTGCTGTTGGCATCATCCCTGATCAAGGAGCCTGAGCTTGCCAGCCTGATAAAGATCCACAATATTTTCATTGGAGAGGTCACACCTCAGGTTCACCAGCAATGGTTCAGTTGGGATAAGGTTGAACTTCCTAGAGAAATGGTGAAAAGTAAGTAGCAATGAAGACAGCAACTACTATTGATATGTATACTGATGTCTGTGTAGGAATTTTGAAGTTCAATATGAAATGTGCCACTCATGCAGTGCAATCAATTCCAGTCCTACCGTCTCCCTGACTCTCAACCTCACAACAGCAAAGTCTTGTCATTTCGCTACTTAGTGCTACTACTAGTTGTGTATCAACTTCGTGGAGTCCATTGTCAGGCACTCTAGATATACATAATCTCACTTTTGACAATCCAAACTTCATGTCCACTCCAATATCACAACAGTGCAATCTCAGGACATCATCACAAAGCGATATTTCTGGAGGAGCTATTCTGGATAGTGCCATGATAATGAGGTGTTCGATGCTGCGCATTACTGAGAAGGAGAGTCTGGATATTTGTCCTCCTCTTTTATCGACATCACACATCACTAAGAAGACCAAGAGTCTGGATATTTCCCCTCCTCTTCCAATGGCACCTCCATTCATCATGGCAACTCAGCCTGACCATTGCCAATAAGTCTTCACTGCATCTTACTCCACTGTTTCCTAATTCCAAGGCATGTTCCTACTAATGACAAGCTTTCATTTAAGTTTCTAACAGCACCTTTCACCATGCTAGGTCATTAACCATAGATGCACACCCAATTTAATACAAATGCAAACCTATGTTGCACTCCATTCAAAATGGTCTTTCAGTGACAAACCATATCTATATTATGGTATCGAAATCACCTCCTGGTCAATGCTCAAATTATAACCACATCAGTAATGAGATTAGTATCATTCTTTCAGGGATTCAGTTTGACCATACCACGATCACTGAAATTGTTAAGATTAGAATGAAGTGGGCTGCTACTAGAGGCTAATAAGTGACCAGAGATGATCAGGACTAAAGTCCAGAGTAAGTTGCCAATGTATTCAAGTATAGTAAGAGTGTACAGTACCTAGAGTCCAGAGTAAGTTGCCAAAGAGGCAGGGAGTACTGGACTCTAGGATATGGGCAATGTTTGGTAAACAAATGTAAACAGACAAGCCACAATCCAAAGGTAAGGAATAACTTGACCTAGGAATGTCCTAGGAGAGGTCAGGAAGTTGTTAAGACCATACTCGAAGGGTAACGGATCCAAAGGGCTTAGGCCTCAGCTTGTGCACTGTGCCCCTTTCCTGAGTATTGCCCCTTATTTCAGGAGGCTAAGGATATCGCATCTAGAGGAACAGATGAATACCATAGTCCATTCTGGATGACTTCCGGATATCAAACAAGTAGTGTAATGGCTAATCCAGACTGAGTCTAAAATAGAAACTATTGGAGGTAGACTGTCTAAGACAGAGGCAGAGATAAAAATCAATCCTAAGTCTTTGAATAGACAAGAGTCAAAGTAACTCAAGTCTGGACAGAGGATGGAAGGCAGATGGAGGAGGACTTGAGTCCGAGACGAGAATGAGTATAATCTAAGATAATATTTGAACTGAGGTGTTACAGAGTTGTACAAGAGTTTATATACTATAGATACCTAATGGAATGATCAATCAGCAATGTCCAAGGCTATGTGTGAAGCATATGCAAAGTCTATCAGTAAGTAGGATTGATCACCAATCATAAAACGGGGATGAAAGGTATGTAATAGATCAGTAAGACAAACAGAAGTACAGATAACCAAAGTACTGGTAGTCAAAGAATTACTGAAAGGAGATAGACACTGTATTAAGGTTATATGAACAGGAAATGGACCAGATTGGATCAGTGGACTGGACAATGGAATAGAACAATGGATCTAGATTGGATCTGAGATCCGGATGTCTGGACCTGGACTGGAAGTACGGTATATGACAGAAGTCATGTAAATAGTTAGATAAATGTGGAGAATGATACCGTAAGTGTAATAGCACATATATAGAGATAAGACACATAGAAAAGTGTATTGTAGAGGTGAATAATCATATGACTAACAGAAATCTGGCACTGCATCTATCAGTTACAGGGTTATGGTCCCCAGGGCTGAAGGGCTATTCTTATGAAGGAGAACATCCCTGAAGACCAGCATGATTCTCTCATGAGTGTCATGACTGGTGTGATGTCTCAATATTTTTCTTCTGGTGAGTTGTCAAAGTTATTGGAGTTTTTTCAGTCAATGCTGATTGATGTTAAAGCCCATGTTTGTTAGATGCAATTTGTAGCCACACCACTAACTCTGTTTGGTTATGGTATCTAGCTCAACCTCATGTAGTGATTAATTTTTTAATATACTTGCTGCTGACTTTGCTTTATGTCCTAAGGCCTGAGTATAAAATGTTGTGCATCTTGCTCCATCTCCTGGGATATTCAGTCTCTCAAATTTCTTGCTATGGCACCACATTCCACCAGAAAAGTTCAGCATGTTTGTCCTTGCCTTATACAAACTCATTACAAGCCAGCCCTTGAGAATTTGGGGAAGTGGAGCCAGAAAATGGATCAGATGGATTTTATTTGCTTGGGTGTGTCTCCATATACTGAATAATCTTATCATACATGCATGGAACAGCTCTAGATCCTAACTACAAACTTGAGTATGCACGAGCACAATGGGACGCAGATGCCTTTGATGAAGGGAAGAAAAAACTTGAAGCTGCAGTAAGTTGGGCTATCATTGCAGTTGAACTTTATTACTAACTATTTAACAGTTTAACTACTATCACGCACCGGTTGTACCTCAGCCTCACTATCTAAACCCATTCTATCAGCATCCAGTCAACCACCCACACAATATAGGCATTCATGGATAGGAATGGACAGGGGTAAACCCATGGGTACCGGAGGTCCTACCCACACCCCTACCCATGAGGGGCACATACCCTTCATGAGGTGTATGGTACCCTTGATAATATTTTTTCTCTTTGTTGAATATAAAAGTTGACATTGTAATAAATATTGTACTAAGTTATAGACTGCAGTGGACTCAAGCTCTGCATACCTTCATATTAATTCTCCTTCTAATTCTATTAAGCCTAAGTATGTACTGAGATAATCAATCCTTTTATGACCATGAATAGTATTCAAACCTAATACTGAACCAATTGAATCAAACTGGCACACCAACATAATTATGATGGCTTATGATATGAGACATCCACAAATATTTGACACCAAGTATAAATTACTGAATGTAGATTGCTATAGCTTTTTTATCACATACTTGACAAGTAGTAGTCATATTATTGAATGGGATTCAATGGTCACATCATGTCCAGAGATCTAGAGGTCCATGGATCTTCAGTGCCCAACCCAAACCTCTGCCCTTTAGTACCCCTTGGTACCCTTCCCAAGGCTTACCTATACCCCTACCTCTTGGTGCCCCTACACATGACCCCCAGGGATTACCCATACTCCCGTCCATCCCTATTCATGGATGTAGTCTGCAATTCTAGCTTGCCAATTGTCTGAAAAAAGAATCACTGATCCACGTCACAAACTCACCCTATACTTAACTAGCCCATTGGAGGAGGTGGCTGATGTGGTTTGCTGGTGGGGAGTAAGTACTCTATATTGTATTGACTGGACTTTGTTGATGTGCTTGCTCTAGCATCATTTCACCATGTACCTCACCCTTTCATGCATAGCAAGAGATTACTTTGTTATTCAAGGCTTTTCAACACCATCAGAATGGGCCTTCTCAAGTGGTGGCATGACAGATGATAGTCAATACAACTGGCTTACACCTCAGGTCTTTGAGGCACTGCAATTGTTGAAGAGTGCCTCCCATTATTGGAATCTACAGGCTATGTAGATGCTACTGACAATAATGACCATGTTACTGACACATAGAGTACATGTTATTTTGATATTGCTGCAATCCTAAGTCTCTTCTGCATGCATTGAGTTGGAGATAATGCCAAACTAAATGTGAACTGAATGTCCCAAACACATTTGGCTACATTTGGTCCAGCATTCAGCAAAATCACTGAACCGAATGGAATGTCCAGTTTAGTGGTCACTGATTTTCCTGGTGAACTGGACTGAACTGGACTTTTCCATCACTATACTGAAGGTATAGAAAAAATTCTGATATTCATCATTCTATCTAATGGAGGGGAAGCAGCTGCAGTTTCAATGCTGTATGACTATGTCATATTAGGGTAGTGCAATGCTGCAATGCTGACTCAATTCCTTCACAACTTTGATGCCCTTCTTGTATGGTATAAAATTACAAACATTGAGGTAATAGCTTGTTCCTCAGACATAGTGCTCTGCTTCAAGTCTCTAGTTGATGATACTCATTTCTTGAGGGCTAATGCCATCACCCTGAGATGTACAATGCTCCAACACAGCTATATTGGCATTCTAATCCAGTGGGGATGCATCAAGGCTTTTAAAAAAACTACCTTTTTTCTATACAGCCTTCAATATCTCATTATGAAGTCCTTCAATGCAATCCTTCCCAGATGCAATGTCATGTCTACTATAGTTTCTTCTGGAGATAGACATACCACTGGTCCAGAATGCAGCGGAACATAAAAAGAAGAATGTGATAAGGGAGGTGCAAGAGAAGGCACTAGATAGGGATGAGAATGATGAAGAGTATAATAAGAAAAACCTAGGCAACTGGAAGAATAAAGAAGGATATGGAGTTTCAGGGGAGTTTACCTGGAACAATGACCTATAATTTTAATTGCAACAATGTAAAAGAGCTACCACTAGCTTTTGAAGGTTTTTTTATCATAGAGGATAAAGGAATGCACCAAGATCAAAATCTATCAGTTTTGTAGTGTGTGTTCCTTTAAACTCCTAAAAGATTTGGAGAACCCTCATCAGCTGATAATTTTTTTTTGATTATACTATTGTCCGACAATAGACAGTTTGACATCCTCCTGAGAACAGCAATGTGGAATTTGCTACACCATACACCTGTTTTAAAGAGGTATAGGCCAAGGTTGCACTAACAGTATTAGTTGAGCATACAGAATAAAAATTCACTTTTTTCCCAACAGCTAGATAATAAATATTCTGGACAATAGTGGTGTCTTTCATGCTGTCTAATTCTTTTAGTTAGATTTACTCGCTAGGGCCCTGATGGATACCTTCACCAACACAGTCCAGACAACTTTTCCTTGCTCTCTTGGATGCCAGGAATCAATTTTCCAGCAACCTGCCAACCAGCTCAAGCTCTAACTAATAATCAAAATGACATATAACCAGCTAGTACTACTAAGCCAGCCATCAGTTTTCTACAAAAATGGAGCTATTAATGTAAAAGTGGTCAAGGCATTACTGGACAAAGAGAAGGATGTCTTGTCCCTGCTGAATATGACATTTCAGCTGTCATTTTGGATTTCTCCCTGAGCTTTTCAGATGAAATCCCTATAGTATAGCTCTAACCCAAGTTGTAGCCCTTGTCAAGAAGTGTCTATACATAGTCTAATAGTATCAATAAATCAAGATCCTAGTGAGTTATAAGCAAAATACCCAAAAGTGAATGGTATCTTGACCTTGGGAACTTTCCTGATGAAAACCAAAGTCGTAGCCTTTGTCAAGGAGAATCTATCTCTAGTCTGATGACATCAATAGGTTAGGATCCTAGTAAAGTATAAGCAAAATACTTGAAAGTGAATCGGTTAAGAAAGCACCATGACTGTGGGAACTTTTCCAATAAAACCTCCAGTTGTCACTGCACTTTGAGGCGAAATAACAGCCACTATTATTTTCGGAAAATCTCATATAATCACCAAATAATCTAATCCTGACATAGCGTATTTGTCATGTTTTCTGCATATAACCATGTACTATGCCTGGCATCTAGCTTACCATTATTTTCACAATTGCAAAGCCTCATGCACTGTCAAGCACTTAACTTAAGTGTGAAGCGCGCAGTATGCTGTGGGCGCTCATCGTCTGCTCTCACAACAATGGCACACACGACAAACTGCTACCCTACACTGCATTCCACTCTCACTCATACCAGTCAACGCACAACACGCAAGCACAATGTCGACTCGAGGGCTTGTTTGGTGCATCTGTAGCCGGTGCTCTTTAGCTGATCATGGTCAATTGCAACAGACAAGAAGGACTCGCCAGAGGCATTTAGATGCTGATCAGCGTGAACAAGAGCATCTGTCCATGCAGGAGATAGATCAGCAGCTGGGCGCCCCCATCTCCCCATTGCGCGAGAGTTAGAGATCCCCAGAACCAATTGTCGACGACTCCATAGAAGTTCATCAGTAAGACATTGATTTTGGGGGCTGGATGGAAGTAGATGTCCAAAATAGTGATGATGATGATAGTTGAGAAAGTGATGCACTCCAGTACCCCAGCTTGGATGAAGAAGAAAACATTTATTGGGCATTCCTGCCACCAGAAGATGACGTCGTCAAAGACGAAGACTGATAACAACAATCACCATGATTCCAATGAGGAGCAAATCAATGATGGTGCCAATATTGTCAATGACCCTGCCTTCAATGCAGGTGATGCCTTTCACGATGACGAGGATCACCTATGAGAAGACGAAGATGAAGATATCTTGTTTGACGCAGTTTTTTTTTTGTGAGCATTCCACTATCAGGAATGTGTATGTATGTGCATACGTTGCATCAGCATTCAAAGGTGCATCACACGAAGTTTCACACCTCATTCTTGATGGTGTTGCTCATGCATTGTTGTATGTTCAAGATCACGCACCGGATATCGAGTATCAAGGCCTCGATGACATGGCGAGAACTTTGCCAACAGCTGAGAAACATCTCAGAGTCAACCTCAACACCATCATAACTTACCTTTTCTTATGTCCGACATGCTGGCAGGTTCACGATTCGTTCACATTGTACGATGAAGGTCTTTGGGAACAGTGCAGTGAAGACGATTGCGATGGCATACTCTATACAACAAAGCTTCTGGCTAGTGGCAAGTCAACACATAAGCCAATGAAAGTTCTGCCATATGTGGCTCCTCCGCCCAGGAAAATTCCAAGATTTACAGCAATGGAGACAAGAAGGAGACGAGCCACATCAAGTGCCAGCTACTCGTGTGGGAGGTGAACATGCCTTTGCAGATCCTTCTAGTTCCATGCATGATGCCTGGGGCTGGCATGCAATTCAAGCTGGTTAACAACACACATATTTTGATGATGGCCAAGTTCATATCATCAATGATGATATTCACAATCTCCAACAACGCTTCGTTTCACTGCCATGTGGACTTGTTTGGCAAATCAACCTCAACTGGTATGTAACTTGCCCACTAGATACTGAAAGGTCTCTTATCAGTGGTCATACTACAGGCTGTCAAACGAGGCAATCACTCAACAGGGGCACTCTATATGACTTGCTGCAACAATCCTCGTGGTGTCCACTACCTTACCGAAGAAACCTTTCTGATTATGGTCATCCCTGGACCAAATGAACCAACACTCATGCAACTCAACAAAATCATGACCAAGTTTGTATCCAATATGATCGAACTTTATGGCGGTGTGTATTTACCCATCTGACTATACATTTACTGACTCTCTATGGGCACTTTGGACAGGACGAGAGTTTCGAATACACAGACATGAAAACAAGCACCCAGTTCACTCAGTGCTCAACAGTGAGGTCTCTGACCTTCCAGCGAGTTGCAAAATAGAAGGACTTGCCTCCTTCTCATTGAAGTTGTTTATGTGTCCACAATGCACAACACCTTCATACTATCTCACAGACCCACGTGGATTCAATCCGACAGGTTAGTGACAATGAATGCTGGCATTGAGTCTCAGCTAATTCATCTGCAGACTTTAAATTACGGTGGCCTTGGCGTTATGCCAAATACGCCTTTTGATCCCACTCCCTTGAAGATGAAGCTGATCAACAAGAGATCTTCAAGCGTCGGGAAGTGTACTGGTCGGTGTTCAACCTCATTCCAGGTTGGTTGACAGCCATCAACTCAATTGTCGAGTTCATGCAAGTCAGCATTGATAAACTCCCATGGTATCTTGAGTTTGTTCTTTGCGAGCTTCAGAGGATCTTTGTCACATTTTTCACCTGTGGTGATGGGAACAATGAAGTTTCTCCCCCCTCATTTGGCTCTTCTCTTATTAATAACTTTATTTATCAGGACCACATTCTCATTAACCTTAAAACATGTGTCAGATCAGTTACAACATTGCTCAGCTTGTTTCACCTGCATTGACTTTGAGAATTTCTTTGTAGATACTTGTGCAGTCTCACTGTCCAATGCAAAGTCAGCTGTGCATGTATTGTTGTTGGTACCACTACCATCAGATTCATTGGTTGATTAATAGGAGACCTGGAAGAACCAATCCCACTCAGGTCCATCAGTTGCTGTCTCTTTTTGGACTTCAATCACTGATCTCTCATTATTTTTCTAGTGCACAGCTTCATTAAAAAGGTGCGAGGATTGTTTTATAGTGTGAAAACACTCACACAAGTCTTTCGAGCAGTCTGCCGTTGCTTGTGATGTCTTGCATCAGCATCTTGCCTTGGCTCCTTCTAATGGATCCCCTTGTGTTTTCGAACACCTCCTTCATTTGTTTGATGACGTCAGTATCCATTTTTTGCTGAAGGTGCTCGACAGGGAGCTGAGGAAACACTTCACAAGCTTTTTGTCGATCATAACAGACCATGTCTTCACGCTATTCTGCGTTCTGGGACCATCACACAGTGAAGTTTGGACGCAGAAGATTGGCACCACAAGTTGGGCACTTGAACCAGAACACCCCATCCTCGAGCACCCCCAGCGATGTAGCTTGCTTCGAATCAGATATCCCCATGGCATGAAAGAAGGTGGCCAGATCGCATTCTAGGAAAATGTAAGTGCATATATTCAATATGAAACGAGAGCTCACATTGAACACATTGTCACGCATTGCTTTGGTTGCCTTATCAATGGACTTCACGGTGGGCAATGCAGCTGCTGAACCTCTGAGTTCGTCTATCAACATGAGGAGTTCTTCCAGTGATACACCCTGTGCCTCAACATTCGTTTGGAGTTCATGTATCACAGCACAGTGCTCATCAATAGTTGCTCGCAGTGTGTCATTCTCCTGGGTGAGACAGACAATTCATGACCTGACTTCAATTGATTCTCTACTCTGCAATGTCAAGTGGTCCACTTTATCGGCAAGCTATGTTGCAACGGTATCAAGATTGGCAAGTTTGTCAGTGATTGCAGCGCTAGGAACTCGGGAACTGCACATTGATGTTGCAGCCAAACACTGTGAAGGTTCGGTGCCAGTTGAAAAGCCTGGTCGATGAGCAGAAGGTACATCAGGAGTTCGAAATTGATTGACCACTGATGGTTCTCGTGCAGCTGGTTTCAGAGGTGGTGCTCCTATGCGACGTGCAGTTGGTTCAAATTGAGTGCTTGTTGGAGTTACTGGAGGTGCTCAGCTCCCAGGTGCATTCAAGTTGGGGGTGGGCCCTTGCATAGTTGAAACAGGTCGAGAAGGGGCCAAGACTGGTGCATGTGAAGCAGATGTACTCCCATGTCCAGGTGGATGGATGTATGCTGCATTCAGGACTTTTTGGAGGGACTGTGGGGCTAGTCACAATCTGTCTCTTGAACCTGAAGGCTTGGGTCAATCATGACATCCAATGGCTGTTCAATCTCTGGACTCCCCCTAACTCCCTCACTTGTTCCACGGTCCCACCACTCATGCATCCTTCAGGTCAGTTCTTCAGATTTAGCAACAGTGATTCCTGGGTCGAATGGTTCTGGTGCAGGATTTTCATGGCTCAAGTGGAATGGATTGAGAAACGATGACGGGGCCACAACTCCTCCAGTCCCTCCTGCAGGTCGTACTTGTTTCAAGGTGGACGCACTCACTGTGGTTTCCAATGGCCTCTTCTTCGCCAATGAACCCAGTCCTTGGGGTTTAGCAATGCTCAAGGGCTTGAAGGGTGCACTAGTGGATTTGTTGGGCACATTTCGGTGTGGTCCTGCCATGTTCATAGGCTGCTGAAGGTTGATACTGAGCACACAAAAGCTTGGGAGGCGGTAAGAGCTGATAGAAGGCTAGGATTGATGCAATTGTCAGTACCTAGCATACAGCGAATCTGTATTGCTCCGAATGTCAAAAATAAATGGTGGTGAATATCCAAGGAAAGCCAAACACTTTATTCAGAGTATATGCACTGTAAACTGGGACTCAAGGTAAGATTATGGTGTCAATATTATTGTATGTTTATCTGGTGAAAATCCAACTGTAATTCGTGATTTCCCTGACATATGACTCTACCTATTATTTTGATTCAAAGTGCAGTGTGTAGTCCTTGTCAAGGTTGCTATGGAGGTCTTTATAGAACTATATAGCTTCAAAAGCTGTTATAGTTAGGTCCTTTGGACCCCTATCTATATGTCATATCTCATGTTCTAGACCTAGATCTCTGCCTGTCATCTCCAGATCTCTGATCCAATCTCCATCCAATCTCCATCCTGTGTTCCTACTTCATTTCTGGATCTAAACCTAACCTTGTATCCATCTCCATCTAGACTTCCTCTTCTCCAGCTCTCTAATTGTATTTTTCAATCAAGAAAATCTGTATTGCTATACAGAAGACCATCCTCTATATAGCCTCCATAGTACATTATAGTGCTATATAGTCTATATAGGCCAGTATATAGACCATCATAGAAATCATATAATTCTGTAGATTTTTCATAAAGTTTGGTAGGTGTACTTCATATAAACAAGCTGTACCTGAACACTTTTGAACCTTTTATTTTCGAATATCTTAACCTATTAATGTTATGAGACTATAGATAGACTCCCTTTGACATGAGCTATTACTTTGGTTTTCATCAATAAGTTCCCATGGGTTAAGTTGCTTTCTTGAACCCTCTGTGTTCAAGATTTTGCTTATAACTCACTAGGATTTTAACCTATTGATGTCCTGAGACTGTGAATAGAGCTACAATTTTGATTTTTATTGAAAAAGTTTCCACAGTTGAAGTGCAATCTTTGTTATTGAAGGGACTTGGAAGAATCTCCCAATTTTGATCATATCAGCAAGTCGTGTGACAGTGGTTAAACTCAAGTCTGAAATTCTCTTTCTTCATTCATCTTTCTTTTGCTCTGTATATCTTACTTCCATTTTCCTGCTGTTGGTGTTAGTGTTGGAGGCTGGCATCATTGGGGACTAGTGTTGGTGCTGATGTTAAGGCTGCCAATCAGTCTCTTTCTTTTCTCCCTTCTCTTCTCTGACTGGTGTTGGCTGCTTCTCCTGCTCCTGCTTTCTGGTTCTTACTTCTACTCCTGCTCTCTCTGCTCCTACACTGCTCTCTCTGCTCCTACACTACTCTCTCTGCTCCTGCTCTGCCCCTCCAGCCCTTACCCCTGCCCCTACTCTGCCCATCTTTTCCTTCTGTTATCTCACTGTCTCTTCCTTCCATCCTCCTCCTTCCTCTCATTAATTTTCGTATTTTTGACTATTTGGTAAGTCTTACTTTCTTTCTTTTTTCCTCTCACAGAACCCCTGGTAGTTTTTTAAAAAATCAATTGATTGTCCCTGGAGTCAAAGACCCTATGGTAGATATAGCCCTATTTGAGTGCAGGGGGCTTGCTTCTGGCTTTCTGTCATAATATTTGTATACTTATGTTGGTATAGTGCAGTAATATGTACTCCATTGGCATGCTGTTATGCAAAGGCCGACTACCAACTTCATACCAAGGAAATGACTATTGGAGGAAAGTGCATGTGAGTGGTCACAATAGTGTAGGTGAGTTTAGAGGGAAGGCAACAGGTGATTCTGCAAAATCATGATGTCATATGCAGGGTTTACCTTCTTGTAGAGGGAACCCAGATAGTCTTTTATCAAGCACAGATCATTATTGATTATAGCATTTATGGTGTCCATGTCTACATACCCCAGTTACAAGGCTGATATTAATGGAAAGAGATGGTAGGTACCAATATAATAGTTGTTTTTGGTATGTATTTCCAGCTATGTCTAATGTGAGCTATCTCATTGCCAGTCCACTGATTTTCTTTAACCTCATTTTATTAGCTTGGTTAGCTAGCACCAGGGGACACACTCCATAGAAAGTAAATAGGATTCAGGGATTAGTCTTTTTGCTTGACTAGCAGGTTTGCCATTCAGAAAGTAATATGATTGATTCTAAGGTCTTTGAGAATATGAAGTAATCCTAACACAATAATATATAGATTAGCACTAGTGGCAGTTAGAATAAGCTTTCTCTTAACAGTAGTATCCCCACACTAGCAATTAGAATGTAAACTTAGATCTTAGCTTTTCCCACAGTGTCAATATTTGTTATGCTCTTTCCCACAATGGAATTTCCATACTGGGTCTTCATAGGGAGTGGGAAAGAGAAGGTTCATTTTCAGATCTATAGTGAGATTCATGGTTGGATTGTCATCAAATGGAGCAACTTATGGATGGGTAAGGACTAATATTTGTCAGATGCAGATTTTACTAACAAGTATCTATTTTAAGTATTAATAACAGGTGTACTCAACCATATAAAGCTTGTCGCCCTCCTCACAAGTGGTGGAAGCTCTCTAATGTGCAGTTACATATGAAGCGGATGATGAGATGGAGGATGCTGATGCAGGCTTTGAGGTGTGTCAATGGAGAGATGGATTGTGAGGTCTACATGGAGCAACCTGAAGGCTTTGCTGAGGGCGATTTTAAGAGACTTGTCTGTCTTCTGGACAAGTCCATCTATGGCACCAAGCAAGGAGGCAATTGCTGGAACAAGAAGATGAGAGCTGTGCTCGTGTATCTTGGGTTCAGGCAGATGTCTACTCTCGCTGCTCGAGGTGACGACCTCATTATCCTTCCTGTCTTTGTTGACGATATGACCTTTGCATCGAAATCTCTCACTGCCATTGACAAAATCATCTCCCAGCTCTCTCAGCACTTCAAGCTTCGTGATCTTGGTCCTACCACCCAACTCCTGGGCATCAAGATAGATAGAGACCATCCCAATCGCTCCATATTTCTCTCACAGTGTCAGTACTCACTCAAGGACACTAGGCACTCCACTAGCAGTTATATCATCAAGATAGGCAATGGTGCGGTCTCCTGGAGCTCCAAGCTCTAGGGAGTCATCACTCTGTCCACTACTGCGGCAGAGTACATCGCTGCAGTTGAGGCAGGTGAGGAAATCAAGTGGATGCACAAACCGCTGTTGGAAATGGGCTTCCCAGCAGGCGCTTCATCTGTCCTTAGGATAGATGATCAGTCCACTATCTCTGTAGCCAAGCACCTAGAGCATCATGGATGCATGAGGTAACTGGACCTGTGCTTCTATTGGCTGCACGATGAGGTGGACAGACAGGGAATCGCCCCAGCCTTTGTCCCCACTGCAGAGCAACCTGCAGATATCCTGACCAAGGCCCTGGATAAGGATTGCCTGAGCAGGCAGATAGTAGTAGATGTTGTCAGTTGCTGCTGTTGTAGAGACTCTGATAGAAATTTTGGCAGTTTAAGGGAAAGTGCCTGAAGAAAAGGTCAGGGCTCATCAATAGGCACCCTTAAGAGGATGAGCTCCTGCTCTCCAGAAAACGGCACAGTCTCTAAGCCAGTCAGAGTTCTCAGGTCTCATCCAAATGGATGGGAGAGCAGGTAAGGTAGCTGGCAAGTCCTACATTAGCTGGAAGTTAGATAGTAGGTAGCTCACTGTCTTAATGAATGGTGAGATGGCCAATGGCCTAAGTCAGAGTAGTCACATTTAAAAGCAGGGATAGACACTGAGGAGGAGATGGTATCTAAAGACACTATGTCTTTCTGATAGCCTTGTAAGAATGGGCCTTGTTGGCTCTGGCATCCAAACACCACCAAACAAGGAGATTGAATCTCCCAGGCACCATGTGGAAGAATTGGACTTCCAAAATGGAATTGATTATTAGGCATACTGCCAGTGTGGTTCAACATAGAGGGACAGGATAGGGCGTAAAGATGCTGAAGAGGATGTTGAGAAGCAGTGAGCACTGAACTAGGGAGGTCAGGAAGTCATGTAAATAGTCAGAGAAATGTGAGGAATGATACCATAAGTATAATAGTACATAAATGGAGATACAATACATAGGAAAGTGTACTGTAGAGGTAAATAATCAAATCACTAACAGACACATGCTGTGTGCTAAGTGGATATCCAGAATGGTGCATGTTATGCAAGGAGAATACCAAGACTTGAAATCATTACTGATAATGGCTGCATTTCACACAGCAGCTGATGATCTAGCAGCCCACTACAGAATTCACCCAATCCACATTTCAGCATATAATTCTCAAGCTAATGGTGTTGTTGAGCAACATCACTATGATATCCAGGAGGCCATCATGAACAGTTGCAATGGGGATGAGGCCACCAGTAACAGTCTGCACATGCAGTACTTTGGGCAGAATGAGTCACTTTTCACCAAGCGACAGGACTAACACCTTATTTCATGCTTCATGGTGTTTAAGCCTATCTTCCTGCTTGAATTTGCTGAAGGAACATTTCTAGCAGTGCTACCTATCTAGTTGCATGGTGAGCACAACAACTGTAGAAGTGACAAGAAGACCTACATGACATCAAAGAGAAAGTACTCAAAGCACACTATCAACTTTGAGCAGAGCTATCATTGCTCAATTATAGATTATGACTTTGCACCTGATACCTTCATCCTAGTCCACAACTCCAAGGTTGAGTCCCAGTGAAAATCAACAAGAAGGGGAGGGATATGTGGCAATAGACGTCGAAGGACAGAAGCAAATAGATAGAAATCTAAGAAATTGGAGACGTCAAAAATGAAAAATGCAATGATTTGTGTAAAGTTCGAAAATGCAAGCAAACGCAAGGGTCGTTTGCAACAAACATGCATTTTCAAACTTGTCTTTGCAAAGTTTGCACTGGAACAACATTGCACAACATTGCACATACATAGATATACACTCACACTTGATCACAATCTTTGCACAAAGTCCCTTGCTCCAACTGTCATGGACATCAGCAACCTCAAAGCAGGTATAGACCTGGCAGGCTAGCAAAGCTGGATTCACTCCTACCTGCATCTGCTCAGGCAATACAACAACCTCTAGTATCTGCTACATCATAGCAACCTCTGTCTACATCAGCACCTCCATTACCTCTCATCTCGTCTGGTAAACGACACCACAGTGTACCTGATATGCACGATAACAATGATTTTGCATCTCTGGGCCCATCAAAGCAGAAAGGACACACAGAAACTCACCAAAACTTTGTTGATGTTGTGCCAGAGCAATCCAATGTGCCACAGTGTTCCAATGTGAGTAAATCACCAGTCAGAGTTTGGTTCACCACATGCTGAACTCCTTGAAAGCTCGTTCCAGACCATCTTTGCATGTCATTATTGGGGCGATGCTTTGCTAAAGCTCATTGAAGTTGTTACTGTACAATCTGTTATGGCTATGATCCCACATCAATTTCTGGGTATCACTGGTGTGCTTTTCTATCTTGTGGAGAGACTAGGACTGGATATCATCAAAATGAGTGGCATTGAAGAGCATATACCCAACAAAGCATAGGTACATAGTAGACATGAATAAAACAACACATCTTCTTTGCCTGAAACTATGCTCAAAAAAAAACCACATATCATTGCAGAGAGCTTGAAGCTCTTGCTTGATCTCACGAACAGCACCAAACCTGTCATCTTTCCCTGATCGGTCATACTATGCAGGATCTTCGTCCTTCGACACATACTTCCAATAGATGGTGTCATGAAGAGAGGCTTGTGTACTGTGTCAGCCTCATAGCCATCAATGTCAGGTTTGGGGCACATATCAAAGAAGATTTGTACAGCTTCTGGTATCATAGTAGAGTGAGGAATTTCGATGGTTGTGCGTGTTGTGTAAGGACTTCATCGAATTGCCGTTCTTGTAATTAGTATCACCCTACACCATGTATCATGCAAGTTGAAACATATGATGTGTACAGAAACCCACTCATCCATCTCCAGCAAACTCTCACAGCTTTCTCACAGTGGAATCTGACAGATACAATTCATAAGTGGGAAGACCCTATCTTCGGACGGAAGCTGTAGTCATCGACCATCGCTAGAAACATTCTGACATCAAAAAGCTGATAATATGTCGTTTAACTCTCCGGACACATCTCCCGAGCATGCCCAGGATTGCAATCGAGATGCTTCATATTACATGTAGGACCATCTCGTACATCCAGATGCAGTTCCACAAGCCGTCATCAATTCATCAGACAATCACCTCGCGTTTGTCTCCTCCAATACCAACATCATTTCCGAGGATTGTAAGAGAAATTATGCACAACTTCCCGCAGATACCCAATATGGACAAAGATTAGTGTAGAGCGCTCTTGAAAATACAACAGAGTGGCTCATCTGATCACACAGGAAGGCCCATGGTCATGGTCATCCAGTACATCCGGATGAAAAGCATCACGTCTGACTCAGGGCGGAGCCCTGCAAATCATGCTCCCATCCAACACTTAGGGCCTGCACTGCGTCCATTGCAGCGTCCCTTGATGTCCGGAATTGGTTGTTCCATGCCCTATGAAGGCATTGTCCCAAACTTGACTCTGTGTTGACAATTGGAAAGTGACTAAGCTGATGATGGACAACTACTCACAGTGGCATAACAATCATGTCAAGAAGAAAGGTACCAAACTGGTTAAGCACGAAGACATGGCTTCCTCTTGCAAGTCAATCAGTGAAGGCATCCAAATCGAATCACCTGCTGAACCTACCCAAAGCAACCCTACTAATAAGAGAGCAACCTCACTTGATACTAGCGATGATGAAGCGGAGCCAGCAAGAAAAAAACAACGCATTGAAGATTTGGATACCTAGGACACCCAACATGAGTCTGACCACTCTCTTCCTCTGATACTACCCTCTACTACTCCTGACACTTCTCATGCGATGTGCGATACTCAAGAACTTAAGATAAGTGATGTGCACTTTGTTATTTTTTCCAACATCAATTCTTACTAGGCCAATGAATCTGCATCCAAGTCGGCATCATCTCCACAACGTCACAAAGGCAAGAAAAGGAGATCCAGTCCAATGTGGAGGTGAGCATTTCCAATGATCTTCACGTATTTTTCTAACCTTTATCACTTGGCACAACAGATCAGGAGCCCACTGTAGAACTGTTTATTTCGAGCTTCTTGGCACTGCTCACATTTTTGTTCACAGTGATGGACTTATCATCGAACCTATAGCTACTTCATCTTCAGCTTATAGCGCTACAACACTCGCTTCGAAACCATTGAGTTCTGACACCAGGCCTTCCCACGACTGCCATACCATCACCAGACCTACCATTGTCCAATGCTACAAATGTAACTTCACTTGCTCCAAGAAGGAGCTTGTGGCGACAGACTTGGAGCTACACAAGCTAGAACTATATCCTGGCTGAACTAGACGGTTCTGTGTCCAGGCTATGCTATGCAGCATTCTACCTGCTCCCTTATCTTCTGTGCAGCAGAACTAAAGTCTCAGTTACTAGCATCACAGATCTAGATGGTGAAACACTGAATACCTCAGCAAGTGAAGATGTAGAAGAACTGGAAGACAAAGTGCTCACTTTCACCTTCAATGCATAAACCTGCCATCCACCATTCCTCAATACCACCAACCATTTCTGAATTCCACTATCCTTCATAAAACCAAACATAACACCTGAACCATATTGTGCAAGTAATTGATTACTGTACATTTCCCTTCAAATGCGTAGGCAGTACAATGCTTCTTGATAGTCTGTAAATGCAGGCAATGCCATATTGGACTTGAGGCCCTGTAACATGAATCAGTGATGCATTGCAGTAGTCATGTAAATATACTCGCATGGTGCAAGGTGACCTTCTCAAAGATCCTGCTCATTCTCTCTGAACTCTCTTTTTCCTTTGTCGGAGTGAGTTTTCCTTGTTTTTTGTTGACAACAACCTGACCTCCTCCCACTCCAAATATTGTGTTATTGGAGTCATCTAAAGGCCTTTGTTGATGTTGACAAACAGGCTGTGAAGGTGCAAGGCTGAATATGGATGTAGCGGAGAACTTGGATGCAGTTGTAGGCTGTGCTGACATCCCTAGGTTGAGTTATTCCTTACCTTTGGATTGTGATTGTGGCTTGTCTGTTTACATGTGATAGTCACAAACCCATAGTATTGTTCATACATAACAACAAAAATGAGCAGTAAAACACAAGGTAACACATAGTATTCTGATCAGCTTCTGTATAAATGGACACCTGATTTCTTTGTCCATGAGGGAGACATAGAACTTCAGGAAATGCTCATTGTCCTTCTCACCAAGAACCATGATCAATACAGCCTGCTGCTTTGGAGGCCTGTCAGCATCCTCAGTCTGTAATAGGTGTGTGGCGTGTACCACCAAGTCCATATTGCCCTCAAGCACAGGCCCAGGCGGAGGTGGAGTATAAGCTCCATGCTGCCTGTCATGGAGCTAACAATGAATCTTTCGAAGACATCAGTCAGGCGGTTGATAGTGCCCTGCATTCCCATCACAGCAGCAGTAGGCATGACCTTAGCGGCCTGTGTTGCACTGCTCATCTTTGCTACATTACTCATCCTCTGAGAGACATGTGTGCTGGCCTATGAACATGCTTTCTTTGAGGGGAGGAGACACCAAGGTGGTGGAGACTGGCTGAACTGAATCATGGGTTGATGTGAATGACCTGGTCTTGACAGAATTGATAGTGGTGCCCTCATAAGGGCGTTTGGCACTGGCAGAGCTGGGTAAAAGAAGGACCGGCCATAGAGGAAGGGCCAGCAGAAGACAGGGCTGGAGCCTGAGGAGGACACATAACACCTGGGTGGAAGGCAGAGTGCCCTTTAGCGCCACCCAAGGGTATTATGTCCTGCATTTTTTCAAAGTAGGTCCAGCCTGTGTTGTGGAATGGATGCATATGATGATTGGACTAGTGTATGTTAGCTTTTAATAAAAAACATAGCGGGGCTGACATACACTGAGTGCAATTAAAATTTGTATCAGCAAACTTTGCAGTCACATATGATCTGAGTCATATCAGATAGTTTGACAAGTTTAGCAGTATTTTATTGACAGTCATCAGTTCATAACTATAATCTCTGTATTATTGATAGTAAGAATTGCTTATACAATGGAAAGTCTTTCCTTATATATCTGTGCCTCAAATGATAAATATGGAGGGCAATCTAGCATAACCTGAAGACACATCAGGAAATAATTGATAGAGTTTCTTCTCTAAATAAAGAGATACTTTTGTCCACAGTGCAGATGGATGTGGTAAGGTATATCTTTGTAAGGATTCTTGAAGATTGTTCTGAGGACAAGCATACACTATGTGACAGGAATTATAAGTGGCAGCAGGCTGCTTAGCAAAATCATCAGTAGTTTCAGAACATCATACAATAGCACTGGTTATACAACATCACTGATAGTGATATCCAATCCCTTTCACCATGTCACATGCTGCTCCTGAAGGGCAGCCAACATATCAGATGGAAGTGGTGATAGCTGTAACATCATTATTGTCAGTTGGCTGATCTACACAGCAAAGATTAGACATCTCCCATGTCAGTAATGTATGTGTTCTGTTGGTTATGATATTTTCACTATGCATATTGTTAAGTATCATGATCTGCTTAGAGCACTTTTATACAAGCATCACTGTTCTTGTCCCTTTATGCTTTTCTTTGCATGTGTATTATAAATTGACTAGTCTAAATATACTATTGCTTATTAAGGGGATGTCACAGGGGACATATGTAACTAATGTTGATACTCATAGTGGGATTGTAGACTGTGAAAAGTGCTTTACCAGTGACAGTGTTCAGCTGTAAGTTGAGAAGGAGAAGCGCATGGACAAGATTTTCAGTGCAGAGTGATTATAGAGCACTGTAGAGTATCAGTGCAAAATGTTGAGTGCTGGGAGTGTGTTGAAAAGAGGTGTAGACTCACCTTTGCCTCCTCCATACAGACCACCCAGAAGGATAATTGGGGCCATGACTGCAGGACAGGAGCTGTAGGCAGTGAGTTTTTTCATGTGGGGTAATGGTAGAATACTATAGAGTAGGATGATAGAAGGATAAGTGCATGGAGTGAATGAGTGGTGGGTAGTGAGGTTTCGGTGAGGGGTGATCATCGAGCACTGTAGAGTAGGAGACTAGAGTAGGAGACTAGAATGATGAGATGAGGGAGTTTGCAGGAAGGGAGACACAGCAGTGAGAGAGAGAGATGGCAGAAAGGGTTAGACAGCAGAAAGGAAGAGATGGCAGGAAGAAACAGATGGCAGGCAAGGAGATACTGCAGTGAGAGAGTGACAGCAGGAATACATGGACAGCAGGATAGGACAGACACTGGCAAGAGAGAGATGGCGGGAAGAGAGAGACAGCGAGAAGGGAGTGTCCATACAGGTGGAAAAACTCATTAAGTCCACCTATGTGGAACACAAATTTGACTCTGTAATGTGTCACAAATACAACCAAACATACCACAACTGTATATGGCTCATCACTTAACCTTCATTCATCCATCACACATCTCAACCTTATCGAACACACCAGTTTCCTACCTTATCATATTTAATTGATTTATATGGCACTTCTTAAGCAACCACGCCGACCATGCAACCAGATGCCATCAATGAAGGGCAGGTGCCTCTGATTCATGTTCAATCAGATGAAGTAACAAAGAGCAGTGAGAGGAGGTAACCAATCCTCATGATATTTTTCAGACCACAAAGTTGGAGACTACCAAGGAAGAGATAAGTTTAGTGGCGCTTAGAAGACTGAGGGAGATTAATGGATTACTAGAGATTTGCCTTTGTGTTTTCCTTCAATCTTTATATTATGTTATCCATTAGGGAGCTGCATAATGCAGAATCCAGCCAATTTGTTGTTGACACTGTGCATTCATCCACCATTGAATTAACAGTGATGTCGAAATTTTTCACTACAAAGTACCGCAGATCCAAGTCATGAGTAAACACAATGGGTGTTTGTCAGCCTGACATATATTGCATACCACAAGAACATCTTTCGAAGGTTGGCACAATGTCCAAGGAATGTTGGCAGCATGATTGCTTCCAAGACACATTACCAAGCAAAGATAGGCTGTAATACTAATTGTGTTGACGGCCAGCCTGAGTGGCTTGTGGGTGGATATTGAGTCCGGGATGTTCTGGCTGATGGTCAAGGGAAATGTTCAGTTGTTAGCAAGCTGTCAGTGCATCACTAGACATCAATAAAATGATGCTCACAGCAATGTATCATTTTCACTGAGATATTTGTTGGTTGAAATGCAGCAACCAAGGGTGACTGTGAATGCTGGCACTAACCAGGTGTGATTCAAAAAACTAACAGTTAATACAAGGTAGCAAGATAATTCTATGATGATCAGAGTGTGTCTGTAATACAAGCCTTTAGAGCCCTCAAGTTGGATTTTAACTTCCAGCATTCTTCCTCCACCTGCTAGCATGTCTCATATGTGTTTATTAGACTCTATTCAACTCAGCCTACCTTTTCCTGAAGTTTGTCAACATCATTGACATCGAGCTTCCTTCTCTTCCTAAGAGGCTCCACCCAGTTGGTCAGCATCTCTTCTAAGATTTCAAAGCCATCTGAGGAGTCAGAAGACTTAGATTCATTGTTGGACATGCTTAGTGTCTTTGGCCACTGTGTACGTTTTCCACTGAAACATATGAATGTTAGGTTGACACTATTTTGCTGAATAATAGCCACCTACCATGACTGCATAGTGACTGACACATGATACATGATTCTCCCACCCGGGCCCCAGACTTTACCCATAGTTGTGCAATACTGGCAGCCAGGGAATTGTCAGCACTATGTTCTCATGACTGCCTGGAGCTACTGTTGTGGGCCTACACAAGACATCAAAGCATGAAAGGCAATATCTATAGAAATGATAGTCTTACCCTGCATGAAGGAACAATGGCAGCAGCATTCTTTACAGGCAGCTTTGGCTGGACTCCCAAGGCATAGATAATTGTCATTTGAGCAGGAGATACATGCAGGGTTTCTCAACTTTAGTATAGAGACTGATGCCATAGTTGAGGAATGAGATGAGTGATTGATGTTGCAGTTTTGGATGAAGATAGATCATGTTGGAATCTTAGCTATCTTATCTTGCTTTAACAAACTTAAGTTTATCAAGTTATGAAAGCAAATAATTCTGACTTAATTTCTGCTTGGAGAATTGTACATAACATTGACATTGATGACATTAATGACACTATGAAATTTGACTTTGACCTGTTCATTCAGAGGAACCTCAACTTTGGGTGTCCATTTAACACAGGAAGTATTAACTGAATTATATGCACCTCCACATATCTCAGATGGACCTCTACAGCTAGTCTGTGTCCTCCACCCTCTGTCCTGTCCATTCTCAGCATGTTCCCTTTGGTCAGATGTTTGAACTTCATCTTCTCTGGAATGTCTGATTATATCCACCATGTGGTTACATCTCCAAAACTCTAGATCCCCAGATCTCAGCTGTACCTATCTCTGGACCTATTTCCACCCTCTGTCCATAACTCCTTTAATTTTCCAGCTGGTATTCCCACAAACAACTATGTGACATTCTGTTTGACTTTCATAGTGTTCATTGCTACTCTAACTAATACCTATGGAACATTGATTCAATCCATTGGCCAATACACACATACTGTATGGTTCTATATCATGACAGATACTTTTAGCTGCTTAGATGCTGATTTGTCAACAGAGCTGTTAACTTGCACTGATCAGATCCCTGAATACCATAGTGCCCTGAGAAGACTCACTTTCTTTCTTTCTTTGTGAGTGAGATGCTCTGCTATGGCTGGATGTCTCTATATGTTCATTGATGAACCTACATATCCTTTATCTACATTTTGTTATGCATTGTGATGGCTCGATCCTGTCCAAGACGCACATAGGTTGAATCCCATTAAAATGGCAAGTGGCTTATCAAAAGTTGATTTGGATGCTGAGTTTGTTGAGAGTACTGGGGCTGGTACAAGTATTGATACTAAAAAAACACTCACAACAATTTTTCTAAAGCCAAGTAAGCAGCTGAGCAGTTTCTCAATGCTTGTCCATTAGAGGTCTTTGATCATTTTATCAATCACTCGTAGTGTTTTATGAGTGCCAACCAAATGGGTCTAACTGGGGAAGCTACAGCTTTGACAGTATAAATGTAGAAGCAACACCACTCTGTATCTTCAACTTTGATGAATTCAATTATGGCTATTCTTAACTAAGATTTACATTATTTTTGCACTACCAATGTCTCCCAGAGAAGATAAAGAGAGAAAAGTCACTATAAAAGTAAAATATAGGAAACTATATATTAGAAGTTATAAAGTGAGCTAAGAAGCTACAACTAGACAAGCTACTACCAGAGGAGGCCTAAAATCCAACTTAATAGGAAGCTATGAAGTATTGAACTAGGATAGGAAAGTAGATAAAGACTGGTGGTGTTAACTAGTGGAGGGAAAGTATGCTTATGTAAGCAGTAAATATAAGTGAGTGTAGGTGGAAGTAAATAAAAAACAGTCAATTTAAGCCCAAGGAAAACTTGACGGTCACAATACAGTATGTGACTATAATCTTGGTAGATATATATAAGCCCAGGGTAACTGTGGTGCTAAATTAAGATCTTAGTCAATATAGATTGGGCTGTGCCAATTGTGCTACATAGATCTAATATGGAATGTTAGGTATACTAAACAATATAGTACAAATAGCTCATGAAATGGATCACATATTGCTATAGAGTTTGCCAATATCTTCTGATAATCAATCAGCTAGGATTGAACTTGAAATAATGTTTAGAAGACATAATATTGAGGTCACTACTGAACATTGTGGAACATTATAACTAGGGGTGTACTATGCAATTATATTAATCTAACACTAACTAAATACTAGTACAAATACTGGCAATACACCAGATTTGTAGATATAAATGACACTAGTCAGTGAATGTGTTATGTACATGTAATGGATAAAGCAAATAAGGAAGTTAAATAAAAGTACAAGCAAGACTACAGCCAAACAACTACTGTATGTAGAAGGCCTGCATCTTGACATCCTGAATCCTCTCTTTCATGATATGGAGCCTCTTTAAACAAATTCTTTTTAAGTGTAATGATAAAGCATAGTCTTCAATAACCAGCAAATTTGTTGCCTAGAGCCTCAATACTCTGAAATACATATATTCAAAGGGATAGGCTGCATAATCGGAGGGTTTAATATGACTTCCTTTCGGACATTGGGATTGTTAAGACCATACTCAAGAGTTGACGGATCCAAGGGGCTTGTACTAGTCACTAACTCTAGCTCAGACAGACTCTTCAATCCTGGGCACGAATGGTATAAAATTGATGGTACTAATGCATATCACTAACTCTAGTTCAGACTCTTCAATCCTGGGCCGAGTCTGACTCCAAGTTGAAACATTCAATCCTCATTTCAATGCAAAAGCTTCAAACACTAGACTCTAGAGTGACATGGTCATTTCTCATTTATATGCATCACATAGCACTAACATACATGAAGCTATTTGACTATTTGAACCAATGGCAGCCTCTATCCATCGCTATAGGACAAGATACATTGGGATTGTGCTATGACCACATTTGCAGCATATTGAGTCCGTCGTTCATTCCCCTCGGAACCTCTTAATTACATGCTTCATTATAAACTCAAATCTTCCACCAGACATAGTTTCAATGCCAATGTTCGGGAACTCAATTGCAAGCCTCCGATGGCTTGATCTAGCCTGCGACTATAATAAAATGGTACGTCCTGTACTATCTTGCTGCGAACTGGGATTAATATTGCCTTGGATTTAAGGCAACTAGTATCGCTGTGACACTGGAGGCACAAATTTCCTTTGAGCCACAATGCGCTTCTCATCAACATATGCCTGGACTGCCGAGAGTACTGCCTGGTAATGGGACAGACGAGCCCACTGTCCTCATCACCACACAAAAAGTTGCTTCTTTGGAAAGTGTGCAATGGCAATTGAACAACGTGAATCTAGATCAGACAATGGACTTACTGGAGGAGATTTTTGCTTCCTCAATTGTAGACAGGGTCCACAAGACTGTTTTCAATAGCAGTTGGAAAAAGTCACCCAGCACTTCAGGTATGTGTCTCGAACTTTTGTGATTCATGCTGAACTCTGAATTTTCTTCAAGGTTTCACTCAAAACAACATTTTCCAGGATGAAAGCTGCACTTCACTACCATTTCCTCCCCTTCCTGCAGTCATTCAAGAGTCCCATGCACCTGCTGTGACTCGTCAAAATATATCAACAACTGCAAGATGCACCACTCCACGACCTGCACCAACTTTAGCTGAAGTTTTACAGTGTCCCAACTTTGAGACTTGGTATCTAGGACAAGACTGCTCCGTTACAAGTGCTACAGCAGCACCTAGTCCTCAGCGTACTCATTGGCAGCCCCTGCCCATGACTCCATCTAGTGGACTAGACTGCTCCGTTACAGGTTCTGCTACTACTCATCAGCAGCCCACACCCACTGTGACTACTCATTGTCATCGACCTATGGCCAGGACCCGTCAGCAGACTACACCTACTCATCAGTGACCCAGACCAGCACGACCAAATATCGCAGCCACTTGAAACCCTTCTCACAATTCCTTGGAGTCTATATCTTCAGAGTTGTCTGTTGAGGTTAGTTTTTTTTGTGGGCTTTGGGTGGCTCTTTGCTGAATGGCATTATTATTTTAAGACCACTGGAGTTATGGCTGTGCAGGAAGCACCTCATGAACCCGCATCTCACTTTGATTCCAAACAAGAAGCCAGTGATTGGCGCTGTAGGCCAATATGGAGCCAACCCGACTTGGACTTTCCATCATCATTTTCTGTGTATGATAGTCTTCAGAGTCTGGGTGCCGAACAATGTCAACATCCAAATCCAAATGGCCGACAAGAACTGCCTTCGTGAGAATGTTAATGAACTTTGCATGTTGTGTGTGAAGGTTACACATGCGAACCCTAAGGCATTACAAAAGGATGTCAATGCAACGTTCAAAACAATGCAGACTGAGGTACTTGTATCAAATAATACACATATATGTCACTTACTGGTAGTCAAACAGTGGACTAGCATCCAAGCACGTACAGGCCTCAAGGGAATGTATATTGCGGTTTGGGGTGATGTTGAACAATACCATGAGCCAAAACTTTTTACACAGCCAAGGTCGGGTCATTCATCAAAGATGTTCTTGGCATGGAGCCAAAGTGCTTTGCACTCAAAGTTGAGTCCTGGGTAGTTGGAAATTTCGGTAAGCAAAGAACATATAGTGAACATGACTTACTTAACTTTCATGTAGATAGTGCTAGCACAGCCAGCCAACGACTGTCATTGACAAAACTTATTAGCCTGTGTCGCCAGCACATCCAGGACAGACTTGGTAGGTTGAACTGCAGGTTTTCACAGGGCCATTTCCCAACGTTAGTCATACAGATATTATTCTTCCTACTTTGAGTCATCCACCAAAAAAGAAGGTCAAAATGAATTACGATAATTATGAAGGCAAGATTGTGGAAACTTACAGCATTGCACTGGGAAATTTTCCTGGCATTATTCAAAATCCTGGAAAGATTGGGTGTCGCAAAGACTTGGTCAAGCTGTATGACTTACTTTTCAGTGGAACATGCTCATGGATGAAGCTCACAAGTGATGAGCTTATGGAACGTGTTGCCAAGAACAAGGAATGCCAGGCACATGGTGAACAAATCTAAAAGGTGCATAAGTGCTGGGAAAAGGCTTCCATGGCAAAGAGCGCAAAAGTAGTGGAAGACACAGATGTGGATGAGGAGGTAGAGGAGGAGGCGACGGAGGCGGCAAGTTCATTGGTGGCTTGATTAACAGATCATTCCAGTACATTACCTGTAGATACGTATGATAAGCAGCCATCCACCTGATCAAGGGGAGCTCACTGTTAGAAGATGATATTCCGAAGCCATCCATTCACAAGACCTCCCATGGTGCAGTGATTGTGCCTGATGGCAAGATTGAAGGTACTGGGCTCAGCAAGCCACATAATCCATATCTTGGCATCGTGAGAGCGATATTCCAAAGCCATCCATTTGCAAGACTCCAGTGGCGCAGTGATCACGCCCAATGGCAAGATTGAAGGTAATGGGCCCAGCAAGCCACACAATCCATACCATCCTGGTGGTAGAACCTGCCATACTTGATACGCTAAGCCTTGGCATGGGTTTTGGGGGGATATGGGTGCAGAGTGGGAGTGAGGTGGAGCCAGACAAGCGTGAGGATAAAGGATGGCGAGGGGGTAGATGGTAGTAGGTGTATTATAGTAAATATATAGTGAAAAATGGATGTAAAAACTGTGAGCAACGAGGGAAGCAACAAACTCACCACAACAGATGACCTGCATGACAATTTGGCAGCAATGAGATGTCTTGAAGCATGGGTCATGATATCCACAGCCTAAAGATATAGAATAACAAGGTCTGCGGAAGATTGAGTAGAAAATGAGTGTAAACGACAAGGGAAGCAATGAGCTCACCACCATAGATGACCTGCAAAACAATCTGGTAGTAATGAGAGGTCTTGAAGTGTGGGAAATGGTATCCGCAGCCTAGAAAGGTGGAATAAAGGAGGTCTGGGGAAAATTGAGTAGAAAACAATTGAAAGACATGAGCTCAATGTCACACACGATGAACATGAGTAAGAACATGGCTGTGAGAAGGCGCAGCACAGTGAGAAGGAATTAGCGACCGCATTCAGAGATTTCTGCTCATACCTATTTAGGGTAGTAAGGGCAACAGTGCCTTATCCCTGTTAAGTAAGCTTATGGGGAGCTCTGATTTTCCCTTAAGGACTGCTGATTTGCTGATATTATCGCTGGTATGAGGGAACAGTGACATGTATTACTAACTAGTATCAAGATGGGGTACGTGATGTATTTACTAATTAGTAAGATTAATAGTGCCATCCAGGTGTAGAAAGGCAGAACTCAGATGGACCGAAGTCCAGAAGATGATCGGGTAAGTCTAAGTTAAATGAGTTAAGTCTAATATGATATTCAAACTAAGGACACTCTACAGGAGTTGTACAGAGGTTTATCTACTGGATGGGATCCGAGAGGATCAGTAAGCTAAAAACAAATGCTATGTATGAGCATGTGGAAACATATTAGTAAGTATGAACGGAACATAGGTAAATGAACTCAGAGATGAACAGAGTACAAGGATCAATAAGCAAGACGGAAACACAGATAACTGAAGTCCAAAGTCAAGGGGATTACCATAAGGGAATAGACACTGATTTAAGGTTTGGGCTTTGGATATGAGTATAGGTCGGATCCAGAGGTCTGGATATCAGATGAGGTGTCCAAGATGGAACTAGGATATGAATCATGGATATAGTCCAGTATTCTAGGGAAGGTAAAGCCCCAGATGGAATGAGCTCGGATCCGATTGGATGAAGGGTGGATGAAGCAGGCTTAGCTGTGGAGGTATGGATATATGGATGTTTGAAGGTGTACAGATCCGAACCAATGGTGGACTGGAGGACTGAAGGCATGGATAAGGGTATGGAGTCATGGATAAGGGTATGGAGGTCCGGATGTGCGTCTGGAAGGTGTCCGGAAGGTGTAGGAACATCATCGAACGTAGGTCCAGAACACGGGATATGACAGGGATCAAGAGTGCCAGTATAATGTTAGCAGGGAATTCTATCATTGTTAATAGTAGTAGTAAATGCAGAAGCACTGCCAGTAAGGATTTCTGCTTCTATTAAAAATGTCAATCAGGAGTTGAAGGTCAGGTAACAAGTCCAACATGTAACTACTTTTCTTTAAGTAATATGGTATCATAGAAAATTTTCAACAATGTTATTGCAATTGCCCAGGAATACTTAGAGTACATGTCGAATAACCCACTTTAGCAGTTTCCGCCTGTCTAGCGATCAATTTTAACAGCCAGGAACAGATCCCTGCTCATTCTAGAAGTTCTTGCAATATGAGAAGTACTCGAAGCTAAGCAGTACATCCTGTATTAGGAATTCAAGGAACTAGTGGAAATGAGCTATCAATTAGACCATCATGCAGAAGTCACATCCATGCATCTAACTTGATTATAGGGTACTGGTGCTACCGGTGTATGCTGAATTGGTGAAACACTACTCTCAACCTATGGCAGTAAGTAAACATCATCATCTGGCATTGAGACAAAGAATACACTCAAATGATTGTAGTTGCACTGATCCTCATGCTTCAGGAGGCTGGACAACATGATGAGGCACTCAGTAGGCTTATAGTAACCACTACTGAATAAATCCATTATGTCACTTGTGTCACTGACCTCAGGACTCTGGAATGTTGTGTTTGTGACAGTTACAATAGTTCAATTGAGGAGTGGAGCTTGAAAACATTGTCTGACAGTGTGCTTGAAGGGATGTCATAGTCAAAAATGGGGGAATTGATGTCAGTGTATTGCAACTCATGAGTTATGTCATTCATGCTCCATAGACACTGGAGATGGTAAGTCATATATATACAATAAATGAGACATAGGTATCCATACCTGTACCACCTGACCCATAATTCACCCACAGGTGTCCAGGGTAAACCTTATCTACAGCCATATCGCTCAATAAATCTTAGCCACTGCAGCTTTCTGCTGTAACACTACAATATAAGTATGAAAAGTGACAACAATCAAAAAAAAAAATTCAATTGAAGAAACAACCCTTGGCATCAGCAAAACTTTTCAATGTATATTCTTGAACCTGCTGCCTAGGGCCTAGATGTAGCTACAGTTAGTTCAAGTCTAGCACAAAGAACAAGCATACTCACCTTAGTGGATGCTAGAACAATGCTTAGGACTTTGAGTCAATCAGTAAAAGTGCCCAAATTGAGCAAGAGCTGGTAGGATCTAGAGAGTCTCCCATGGCTATATGATGCTTTCTGAGGTATGAATCTATTTTTTGTTGTCATGCAAGGTGTACATACTGTTAAGATGGGAATGAAGTAGGCCACTTCTAGAGGCTAATAAGTGACCAGATATGATCAAGACTAGAGTCCAAAGTAAGTTGCCAAAGAGGCAGGGAGCACTGGACTCCAGGATATGGGTGATGTTTGGTAAACAAATGTAAACAGACAAGCCACAATCCAAAGGTAAGGAATAACTCGACCTAGGGATGTCCTAGGAAGGTCAGGAAGTCATGTAAATAGTTAGAGAAATGTGAGGAATGATACCATAAGTATATAGAGATAAAACACATAGGAAAGTGACCTATAGAGGTGAATAATCATATAACTAACACATACTTACCTTACAAGGCACACCCTCAAAAATTTGATTGATGTTCTAACTCAAACTGATAATCTTTACCTGTATTTGTAGAGGGTGTTTTTGTAATCCGATTTTTTATGTTCCAGTTCCTGTAAGTCTTGTGATATCTAGTCTATATTCTCCCACTGACTTGGACCATAACAGTGTCAGTGCCAGTATTACCATTGGCCTGCTTTGCTCATAATCTGGGTTACTGTGACTCCTGTATAGTATGTGTTTTAGTGGTTTATACTGTATATGCTACATTACATATTTTACCTTGTCCAAGTGATCTTGCTGGCAGTGTGAACTGTATCAGCATACTAATATGCTCTCTAAAAGTCATATTTTGTTGAGAGAGCTCAAAATAGATCAATAAGAACCATCACTTCAATTATTATTGGCTCCTATCTATGCATATTAAATTTTGAATTGTTGATTTTCACTAGGCTTCAAGCTCAGAGTGCTCAAGTTCAATTGACTGCTACTTACTATACACAATACTATATTTGAGTGGACTGGACTTTTGAGAAATCAGATATCTTCAGCCATTACTTGGCAGCTACCAGAGAATTCAACATCAGCACTTCTTCAAAACAGTACAGGACACAAATTATATACATTGAGTGCAAAATGACTGGCTTAACCATATGTTCAACTAACTTCTTATTATGTAGAACGACAGTGAACAAGGCAATAAACAAGAGGAAGAATCACACAAGCTTGAGAGACAAGAGCAACTTATTTGGGATACTAACTCAAAAATGAATGAAGGTACTGTAGTACATACAAGATATATCACTGGTTGCTGTAGAAAACAATGTACAGAAAAATAACATCAACTTGAACCAGCATCCAGTGGTATCCCAATAGACAGTGGGGCAAAAATTATTTATTCTTCACACAGCTAGAGGCAACAGAGTCTTTTACGATGGAGTTGTTTCAGGAGCTTCCAATTCTTTATGGGTTCCCACAGAGCGTTCACCCCAAGCTACATCATGGCCATACATACATCCTAGACCTTTGCTCCCTATCTCTGCCACCAGCACTTCTCCATCCTCCAGTGAGTTTTGGAGAGAGCTAATTTGTGTATTAATTGATATTAGCTGTGTTTGGGCCAGCTTGTTCTCATCATGAAGGATCGACTTTGTCAGGTCAATGTCATGGTGGTGAATGCATTGATATTGCCTTCTTGTAGTAATAGTGATAGGTGACCTAGGAAATTTCAAACATTTGCCCATTGAAATAGGTTGAAGTTTTAGAAGAAAGTACAGTGTATTCTACTTTGGAAAAAAAACCTGAATTAGTTATAACTCAAATGAAATAGGACACACTGTTGTTTATACGGTCCTTAGAGTCAGTTCGGAAACTTGGAAGTTGGGAAATATTTGCAACAATTGATGTTGGGGCTGTGCGTTAGTTCGGCATCATCCTCCTTT